TACACTTCCTGCTTTTTCAGTAGTTTTGTTTTTCTCCGAATTTCTTTTTTTTGTCTCTTTATCTGGAATTTGATTTTTCTAACAGCAATTAGAGTGGTTAATATGCTGTCTCAAAACATCTCAAAATATACGCAGATCTCTTTCCTAGGTGCTTCCTCCTTGTCAAACAATTTTTTTTTTTGGTTTGGTAATATGTAAAGAATGCCAACAAACTTAAGAATATCAGCTATCAGTGTACTCAGCCAGGCTGAAACTCTACAACTTATTCTAATGATAATATTCCTTTGCCTTGTATAGGAGATTCTTGGCGCTGCACTTTCTGCACCCTTAACTTCCTACAAAGTTATATTTGCTCTTCCCATGCTCACAATTAAGGAAGATAAAGGTAATGTTACAGCAGCATCTTGCCTAAGCCTGTTTGCACGCTGTGCATTCAATACATGTTGACTAATCTTTTTATCTGTTCTGTTTTCTTTTCTTTGGCAAGGAACTGGAGTGGTAACAAGTGTTCCTTCCGATTCGCCTGATGACATCGCAGCCCTGAGAGATTTGAAAAAAAAACAGGTCAGTCTCTTACCTGAATTATTTCTGTTCCTGTTTGCTCTCGAGAGCACGGAGAGACAAGAGTGGATATCCAGTGAGTAGAATGAAGCTCTCTTTAATTGAAGCTATGCAGTCTCTAACTTGAAATTAAACTGGTTAAAAATAAATGAGGTTAAAATCAATGGAGCTGGAATAGTTTTTTCTTCTCAGGCTTCAAAAAAGGTTTTGGACAAGAATCAGGTCGCTTCTGCTGCAGTTTGACGTAGAGAAGACTACCAGTGTGGTAGAAATGAATAGCTGTTGTGGAAATGACTTCCGTGGATAAGATCAGGACCTCTGTATTCATTTCAAATGAGACTTAGAGTAGCTGTTGCCATTACAACTTCGAAAGTACATCAGTGTCTGAGCAACTGGCTTTGAATGTTGCTGTCTTACCCATTTTCAGGGTAAAATGATGGTTTATTTTCCCCTCTTAAAAATGTAGAAATTATGACAAAGAATCGCCTGGAAATCAGACAGAAATTAAACTCAGGAATGGTGAGCAGACAGGGAAGCAGTTTATCTACTTTATGGTAAAATATTATATACAAGAAAGTCCCTCTGAATGGATGAAAAAAATAAAAGAAAACTCTTCTACGTTTAATATTGTGGCATGTTTTTTCTAACTTTCAAAGGCTTTGAGGGTGAAGTATGGCATCAAAGATGAAATGGTCCTGCCATTTGAACCGGTAAGTCCACCCAAATGCGTGCGTCTCAGTACACATGGCTTTGTATCCACTGATAAGAAATGTACCTGCTTCTTCCAGGACTTCTGTCTTTAAAGTCTTTTCAGCTGGAAGAGCTGGAATGTTTATAGAGCAACCAAATATTGTCATTTTTCATTATAGTTGTAAAACTTGGTTTGTTAGGGGATGCCATCAAAATTTGTTGTTCTATGCTATACTTGTGAGATGTGTTTTGATTTTTGTGGAAATTACTATTTTTTGAGCACTGTAGTGGATTGTTATACTGATAACCTTTTGGTTGGTTAAAACTTCCAGTAATAATCTGGCCTTAAAGGCTGAGTTTACCTATTCTGTACAGAGCTAAAGCCCCTTACTGTTGATGCGAGCTCATGACTGAATCAGTTTTTTAGCTAGAAAAGATAGGTTGCAGGTAAAGTCACCCTAATACTCTGTATTACCCTTCCTTCAGCACACTAGCTTCAGTGCTTTTGGTATCAGTTTCATGTCAGGAAATAATTCTTGAGTTACCACTTCTCAGAGTCACAGTGGGGGCTACCAGGAACTCTTGATGCGATGGGTGGAATTGCACTGTTTCTCTGTAGAGTCTTACTTAACTTTGATTAGTAATAGATAACGTGAAGTTGCACACAGCATAGTTCAGAGCAGTAAAAGTTCTGACTTTGCCTGAACACCTGCTGTTGCTCTCACTAGAATTCTTTGTTTAATATTGTATGCCAAACAGTTTAGGAAACTTATTGTGCGACACTAGTATTTTCAGGTAACTAGTAATTACTGGCATGGCTTCCCCTGTTCATCTCTGGTTCAAACTTGCATGTCAGCTTGAGGATCACAGACCAAAAGAATATACCTAGCTCTGTTTTGTTCAGTGCGTTGTTTCCAGTGAAGTCTAGATTTTATTGCATTCGGATAATTTGAAATGGATTGCTGACACTGTTCTGTTAATTCTCAGGTGCCCATCATTGAAATCCCAGGCTATGGCAACCTCTGTGCTCCATTTGTCTGTGATGAGCTCAAAATCCAGAGTCAAAATGACAGAGAGAAACTTGCTGAGGCCAAGGAGAGAGTATACCTGAAGGGATTTTATGAGGGAGTAAGTAACAAAAGAGGTTTTGCTGAGTATATTTTCATGTTGAGTTTGATTAGGAGGGATAAAGAGGGGAAAAAAAACAAAAAAACCCCCCCAAAAAACTGCAAGGAGGAAGGACTTCTTGTTTGTTTTGTTTTCCTGGTCAATTTCTTGTAAAAACTTCTCCTGCAGTGAGGTCCTGCAATTGGTGGAGGAATTATGTAGAACTGTAGTAGAAATGTTGGAGAAGTGTTTAAATGCAAATTGAGGCTCATAATCTGGCTTCCTAGAAAGTGATTATATTCAGAGGAAAACCAGTTTTGTTTCAAGTATTGATTTGGGAATTGAATAGGAAATGATAGCAAAATGATGTTTTTATCTGATCTCTGCTTGGGTAATGGCTTACTATCACATATTGCTTAGCTGATTTCTCTTAAGCTGCATTAAACTTGATCAAATTTTATTTCGCATTTCTGACTATTTGGGATTCCCGGTTTGTGTGTGTGTGCGCGCGCTGAAAAGTATACAAACTCATTTTGAGTCAAGACTATTTAAAAAATCTTTGCGTGTCAGAGATTGCAGTAATGATTATGTTAGATCTAAAAAGAAATAGGTGCAATAGCTCTTTAATTATTCTTAAAAATAAACTCTCCTGTGGCCTCTGTTTTACAGGTAATGTTGGTGGATGGGTTCAAAGGACAGAAAGTTCAAGATGTCAAGAAACTTATTCAGAAGATGATGGTGGATAATGTATGTGGTTGTATGCATGCCGATTCTTCTAAATTATTCGTTTTCTCTTTTCACAATAGCTTAGTCGCTAAAGAAACCAGACCATTTTTGTTCTGCAGTCCTCTTTATGGTCCTTAGGATAGCTACAGAGTACAAAATGCTGTTAAAATAAGACCTTGTGTTCTTGAATCAAGTGGAATGAGTACCCGAAGTAGAGAGAGACTTCTTATTCTGTGCTTCATACCACCAGCTTATCTAGAAGAGAACATTGTGATGCACTGATTTTCATTCTTGAAATTGTTGTGAATATCCTGAAAGCATAAGTTCTAAATTGCCAGTCTGCTTCAAGCCTACCAATAAAGAATGTCTGACATGTAGACATCCCAGTTCTGGGGTTCATCATGCAGAGAAGGAAGAGAAGTAAATGAACAGTGATCTTGCCATCTCTATATAGTAAGATTTTTCTGATGAGCCTGAGAAACAGAAGAGGCTTCAGTTACTTAGTCAATGCTTTCTGGTTATTGCAGCTTTATTGTGTTCAGATTGTAGTATAACACTTCAGTTTCATCCTGTACAGAATACCTGATCTGTGGAGGTAGAGTTAAAGCTAACCTTTCTATTCTTCTTTGTCTCTCCCCACCCATGTTTTTTTTTAGCTGTGACAGTTGTATAACATGTTTTAGATTTTATTGTGAATGACTTCTTTCAGCCTAAGAATGGTTTTATTCTGTAGGGGCATAACTAATATTTTGTGCTTCTGCCCTCCTTTTTAAGACTGTCTCCATGCTTGACAAAATTATGTGAATTACTTGACTACGTACCTGTCGGAGGTATTATTGCCCTCATTTTACTGAAGCAGATATTCAGGCAGATTCTGTTTGGTGGCAAAGGCAACACAATAAATGTAAGACAGATCAGAGTGAAGATGATTTTCAGTAGGATGGAAGGATTTTCAGGACTATGCTTAAATACTTGTCTCTTAGCTTCTCTATTGCTCTTTCATGTGTTTAACTGTGTCTGTCTTAGGATGAAGCCATGATTTATATGGAACCTGAGAAACAAGTTATGTCAAGGTCTGCAGATGAGTGTGTTGTGGCCCTTTGTGACCAGTGGTGAGTGAAGGAAAGCTGTAGTTGTAAAGTTACTGTAAAGTTACATCCTGCTTGTAGATTTCTGTATTCTAATAACTTTTCCTGATTATAGGTATTTGGATTATGGTGAAGTGAGCTGGAAGAAGCAGGCATCAGAGTGCTTGAAACATCTAGAGACGTAAGTTACAGAAAGCGGATGTAAAGCGGGGTAGTGTTTGCTGATGGTGTTCTGAGAGAGCAGAGAAGAGAAACTAAGAAGTTTATTTCTTGCAGGTTTTGTGAAGAGACTAGGAGAAATTTTGAAGCTACTTTCAATTGGCTGCAAGAGCATGCGTGCTCCAGGACATACGGCCTAGGTAGACAAAACACTCCTTTTCTCACTCAGTGCTTCATGAGCATGATACTCCTTATTTCATTTGGAAGACCTATTAGATGCTACACAAATTGGTCTTAGAAATCTAAAATCAAAAACAAGATTGTAGAATAGAGTTATCCAACTTAGATCTTGACCCAACCTCCTGGAGAAGACATGCTTTATCCTGTAAACTCACATGACCGGGGTGGTTTTATTTCTGTGCTACTGCAATGGTTTTATGCAGCATCTCTTTAGCTCATTGTCAAGGGCCACTGATCTGGAAGGGATCCTGGCAGAAGGAACTAATACTGATTCTTGGGTGTTCTCCTTCTTAAATACTGACCAGCCTTCATATTGAGTAGCTTGTATAAGATGCCAAAGCAGGCAGTTTGACATGGGACAGCTGTTGTAATTGCATTATAATTCATAGAAAACAATAATCGGGAGCTGAAATTTGCTGATAGTTGGGTTAAGAAGCAGACTAAAGAAATAACAAATGTATTCTCTTGAATAAGGCTTTAAAATATGTAAGTCCATTCAAAAAAAAAAACTTTTAAAGTGTAAGCAGGAGTACTTGTATGCCTATGGGTCCCACTAAAAGTCATAAACTGCTTTCATATACTAGAATATTGTGGTTGTTGGTCCGGCAAGTAAGGCTACTGACTGTATCTGATAACTGGCTTCCATCTTCTCTAGGTACCCGTTTGCCTTGGGATGAGCAGTGGCTGATAGAATCGCTCTCTGACTCGACTATCTACATGGCTTATTACACTGTTGCTCATCTGTTACAGGGAGGTAACCTGAGAGGCCAAGGAGAATCTCCCCTAGGCATTAGGTAAGGAGAGTTAATCCCTAAGTTTGCTGCTTTAGTTCTGTTCACTGTTCTTTACAAAGACTTATCAAGCAGGCTGATTCTTTGCTTTTGTGTTGAAAAAGTGTTATTGTCAAAACTTACCTAATGTTAGCTAAGTTATAGCAATATTGCAGGAGAGAAATAAAGGGAAAGGAGTATGGGGGGCAGAGAGAGAGAGAGGGAAGATCCTTGGGAGCAGAACTGTATGTGGAAGTAAATTGCCTTTTTTCAGTACTCGTTTCCCTTACCTTGAGATGGTCCTTGCCAGCTATTTTTGAGTGATTGATATCAGTGGCTGCTGAAGTGTCTCGGTAGTGCTTGCTGATACTGCTTTGCAAATATGAGGAACTGTAAAAAGTCTTTTTTGTATGCTTACTTCAGAGTACAAAGTGGGCAAAATCAGCACTTGGTTTCTATCACCACATTAAAAGTTGATAATTGCCTTAGAAGCGTAGACTCACCTTTTGTCCACAACTAGCATGCGGAAGCACATAGTCTTTTAGGCTATCTTTTCCAGGATGCTTCAGAGACTTGTGTGCCAAAATACTTCTCAAGTTTGCTCTTTAACTTTTGGTTGGAGTGGCTGTGAACTTTAGGTGATAGAGCTGCCTCTATCACAAAGAGAAGATGTAGTAGAATTCACCTAGAATTGGGGGGGCTGTTTGGTAGGGCTGGAAGGACAGAGCTTGAATCTTATGCCCAAATTTTGTGTTGCGTGAGCTACTTTCTGGAGCAGTTTACACATTGGAATTTGAACTTGCCTTGTTTGATACCATAACTAATCGGGAAATCTTTCCAAAGTAAAGGTTCTTACAAGCAGAATTAATTCTGAAAGACTTGGCAAGATTTTCATTTTGGCTCAAGAAACATCTCTAATGATAGAGAGGTTACCTACATACTAGTCGTATCTGGAAACAAACTGAAGTGAGGAACCTATGCATTGAATTATAGATTTGATGTAATTAAGTATTTATACATTACAGTGTACTTTTGCCTGGGTAGATAACATCTTTCTTTTAGTGTTAGCAAGCACTTTTTACTAAGACTTCATCTATAGGGTAAGGTAAACAAGGAATTTTTGGTGGATCATTTCACTTGCCATTCAGATAAAATATCTTTTGGCACCAGACACAGTAGCTAAGTCACAGCATGCAATAGTAATTTATAGCATAGAGCAATAACTACTGGAGCTAAAACATTAAATTAGTGCATGTAAGTCTAGAGATTGATGGTATCTTCTGTGTCATTTGAATTAGTTGTCTAACTTGTACTGAAAGCGCTTTGGATCTGGATTTTCCTTTTTGTGTGGTACAGGGCAAAGCACCTTAGTAGATGTTTAAAAAATGGTAAACTTTAGCAGTTCATTAATTTAAATCTGTTTGAAATTGTGTGCAGGCAGTATCTCGTGGACTCCAGTGAAATTCTTTTAAGAAGCTGAGAATAAATATTTCTGTAGAAATGAGAAGGGTGTGGGTTTTTTCTTCTTTTTTTCTTTTAATGCAGGCCAATGGTTACAGAACAGTGGCTTCACATCCCATCTCAAGGGAAGCACCTCACCAGTGTTGTCTTTCAAATTGTAGATCCTATCTCTAGTCGCTAGTAGAATGTCTTTGATGGTAAATGTTAATTTTGAATGGATTCAGTATCCCAGATCTGTATTGGTAAGGTGAGGAGAGAACATAAATTTTTCAGTGTGGGAGGTGACCTTGAATTGTACAGCAATTTCTCTTGCACTCCTGCTCTTTCCTCTGCTTTCATGGAAACCAAAAGGAATGGCTGTATGACCCAGTGCAAGGGAAGGTAAAGAAACTGAAGTACTGGTAATTTGTATTCAGCACTCAATTAAGGTCGCAAGGGGTGCTCAGAGAGGGGCACTTGGAAAAGAAAGAGTCAGGTTTCCGGGACGTTCAAGGTTATGCTTTAATTAGTAATTACTTTCTCTTCGCAGGAGTTCCCATGCTTTATTGGGAGATATCAAAGGGCGTTTTAAGCAGGGCATGGCCTGAGCTAGTATTTCTGAGTTCTGATTTTTTTTCTGATGTTTGACTCACTCCTTTGATCTTGGTCAAAGTACCTGTACCTTCTATCCGTGTGTATTTTACTTATCAGTGGAATATGTTGTGAGAATGCTGAGCCATAGCTTATGTATTTTGTTAATTCAAATGCTGTGGAGTGGAGACTAAGATACTCTTAGTCTCTTATTGAGATGTAGGTAATTCTATGCAGGGCACATCAAATGAGCAAAGAAGTTTGGGATTACATCTTCTTCAAGACAGCTCCATTCCCTAAGACAGAGATTCCAAAAGAAAAACTGGACAAGCTAAAAGAAGAGTTTGAATTTTGGTATCCTGTGGATCTCAGAGTTTCTGGCAAAGATCTTGTTCCAAATCACCTGTCATACTACCTCTATAGCCATGTGGCTATGTGGCCAGAAAGGTAAGTTTGGAAGTAATGCAGAGCAGGTGTGCAGCAGATAAGGTTGGAGACTTTGTAATTCTGATACCTTGCCAATGGATTTTTTCACTGTCCAACATGCAGAATTAGATTTAAAATGTATTCTTTCATATTGCAGCTCTGTTAAAGTTGTCTCTACTAGGGATTACTGAAATTAAAGGCTTTTTACCCTTATTCTGGTTTTTCTAGAATCATTTAAGCATTATAAGATGTGAGGTGCTTACATAAAAATTCTGGTTTTCTTAAAAGTAGAACTGAAATTTTACTGTATGATACCTGATTTCTAGCAAGTTTGCGGGAACCCTGTTCTAAACACTGGAATTCTAAACTGTTAGCACAACTCATTTGGCAGTTTCAATCATAGCTGTAGAGCAACCTAAGGATTTATGACTTCCTAACTAAATAAACATTTGCTTGACGTTTTGTTACAGGGTTCGTGCAAAACAGTGTTGAAACTGCATTGCAGTTTCTTTTAGTGTTTTGCTCTTCAAAAGTGGATAATACTAAGCAACAACATTTAGAACTGAAGCCAAACATAGCTAAGTTAAAACATGCATTATATGTTGCTATTTGCATTTGTTTATCTGTAGAGGCATGAAATGCTGATATTTAGATAGCCAAGTTAAAAAGCAAATATATAAAACAAAAAAATTAATTTTAGCTTTAGCTCTCATTGCCCTGTTTTGTAGAAGTGATATCTTTACTCTGTAAATATCACCACCTGTGGATTTTTTTTTTTTTTTCCAGTGGTGAACCATATTCCTGCACAGGGGTTTTATGTGAATTTATTATCAGTAAGGTTGCTTAGTTACTTTTCATGGATCACTTAGAAACAGTGTATAGACATTCCAGTAGACTGTGTAGTACAGATTGAAAATCTTTGGCAACCACATGGTGCTCTTAGAAAGACAAGCTCTTCCTGTGCGCGAAGATGATACTGTGTTTGAATCTCCTTGAGCCTTTATTTGTGAGAGTTGTGTAGAGCTTTATGTGAGAAAATACCTTTTCCTATATATAGTGAAGATGGTCACGGGAGATTTGACATCTGCTTTATATGTGAGACCTAACACTATCAAATGCTGTTGGGCCATGCTAATCATGGCTTTTTGTAGCTGAACAGAGATGGAGATAGGGTAAATGAAGCATAATTGTTGGTGTAGCGCTCCACACTTTGCATTTCAGGAATGGTAAGACTCAGCCCTTATACTGTAGTTAATCTTCAAAGACAACATTAATTTTACAGACGTTCCTCTAGATGCTTTTTTGAAGGTTCCGCCTAAAAAGGCGCCCATCCCAAACTGGCAAAATTAATTTTTTTAGAGGAAATTTAATTACTTATTATCAAACGCTTTATATTTTGTCTTCAGAGAAAAGTGGCCAGTAGCTGTGAGAGCAAATGGACATCTCCTTCTCAATTCTGAAAAGGTATAGTGAGTTTTCATGTATGAGATGGCTTTTGTGGTTGTCAAGATAGCTGCTCACCAGCCAGATTGGAAAAAACCTTATAGGAAGTTAGGAAGAAATAGTGAAAATTCTAGTTTCTTCGTTGGTGCCCTCTATTTTAGCATTCGCCAGAGCTGAATAGTTGCCTTTCCTCCATTTCTGTCTTAGCATTTTTCTTCTGTTAGCTCTTGTATAGCTTTATCAGTTTAGCGAAGATTTTGGTGGGTTTCTCCCCTAACTTTTAGGGTAACTTGTCGAAGTCACAAGACAAATTCAAAGTTCAGGAGTTGGATGAGCACTTGCAAAGTTTAGTGAGTGTTTCTGCTGTGAGACCTAGTTCAGATTTATCGATTTGTTACTTTTGCTGTGCTTCCTGCAAGAGAATGCTTTCTCAAGGGTTTGCCCAAACCCTTGCTGCGTCTGTCTTGCTTGTGTCTTTGTAACAGCAAAATGGATGTATGAGAAAATCCCAAGGCTCTGTTTCTTTCAGATGTCTAAATCTACAGGCAACTTTCTTACCTTAGCTCAAGCTGTTGACAAGTTTTCTGCAGATGGTACGTATATTCTGAACTACATCTATTTTTTAATGATACCAAAATAACTAAAATTCATGCTTTGCTCTTAAAGGAGCAGTGGGTTTATTAGAATATTTTACTACAACAGATCTGCTACTTATCAGCTGTTTCTGTTTGAAAAGCTAATGAACTTTATTTAGAAAACTGGGTTTATGTTAACGCAACACCCATTTAAACCAGAAACCCTCCCTGATGTTGAGGACTCCCCTAGAGTGTCTGTCTTGTTCTTCAGGCATCTCCTTTGGAGATCAAAACCTTATAAGACAAATAGTGCCATAGAGCTTTGTTGCTTCTGAGGCACACAGTGTGTGTGTGTGTGTGTGTGTGTGTGTGTGTTGGTGGGGTGGGGGGGATGCAAGTGTTACCTTTTGCATCCTTTATTTTTTGGGGATGTGGTTTTCTTTGGGGGGGAGGCTTGAGGGGATGGTGGTCATGCTCATCTCCTGGTTCTTGGTGTCTCTTTCTTCTCTCTTGTTGGCCAGGCAAAGCTTGTAAATAGACTTCGCATTTTATTAACTTGCAGTGAAAAGTTACAGAGTTTGAATCCCTTGTCTTCTGCGTCTATTATCTATCAACTGATGGCATGCCGGGCGTATTAACTGATCCAGTCTCTTCCAGGCATGCGTTTAGCATTGGCTGATGCTGGAGATACTGTTGAAGATGCCAACTTTGTGGAGGCCATGGCAGATGCTGGTATTCTGCGTCTCTACACATGGGTGGAGTGGGTAAAGGAGATGATTGGAAATAGAGACAGTTTAAGAAGTGGTCCTGCCAACACCTTCAATGACAGAGTCTTTGCCAGGTACTATACCCCACAAAGCTAACAATATAGTTTGTTCCCTTTTTTTTTTTCTTTGCAAGTGCAATCTGTGTACTGTGTTTTTTTGTTTTTCGCAATAACTTCATGAATTCCCTAAAGCAAATGAAACACACTTTTGATCCACTTTCAGACTAGTCTGTGTTTGTGCTACACTGGGGACATTGATAATGTTGCTTTACATAATGTTGCAATTAAGTGAGGTGGACTATGCAATATTGATATTCTTATTTCCCTTTCCTCCTTAGTGAAATCAGTGCAGGTATAATGAAGACGGACCAAAATTATGAGAAGATGATGTTTAAAGAAGCTCTCAAAACTGGCTTCTTTGAATTTCAGGTAGGAGATCTCTTTTCAGGTAATAAGAAACTTGTACTTGGCGTTTGTTACTTTGTGTGGCTTTCTTTTAATCCTGATGTCTCTGATCCTTAATTATAGAGCAGAATTGGAATCAGAATTGTACCAAGAAACAAGAGTACTTAGATGAGCTAAATATGGAGTTATAAAGGTCTACTTACAGCATTTTTCAAAGGTCTGGAGAAAAACAACTGCTGTGTTGGAAATAGAGTCTTGATGTCTAGTATGAGCAAATAGCTATTAAAAAAAAAATGCTTTCTTTAACTTCTTTTTAATCAGGAACTCTGCATAAGAAATCCAGATAATACATCAACAGAATTGTTTGGAAGCAGAGTATTTTTTGATATACTCCATAAAGAATACTCCATGAAGATATACTCCAGAGTGTCTGCAGAACCATGCCACTTCACTTAATGAGTGACAGACACTCCTTGTGTGACTGACTTGATTTTCAGGAATATGATTGGGAAGGCTGGATTATATATATAATGCAAGTTTATGTTCATTGCCTTTTTCTTACTACTTATTAGTATCTTTATGCAGGCTATTCAGGATTATAGTAGCTGAAATGCAGTTGTGGTTATTTTTGTCTTTTATGTCTGTGGCAATAGGCACTTTTTGAAAAGTACCATAATAACGTAAAAATAAAATGGCCAACTGACAGGTTCATTCCCTTAGGTGTTTCAGGAAAACATAGTTCTTTTTAATAATCCATTTTGAGTTCTAAGTTGCTTACACTTTAAAGGCATATTAGAGCGAAGAATTTGACATGTTCTCTCTCTCTTTCTCCCTCTCTTCCTCTCCCCCTCCCCCCCCCCCCCCTTTTTTTTTTCCTTCTCTTTAAATGTTTCCCCATGGCAGTTGAAGTGTTTTAATGATGGCTACATTGGCTGTGTTTCAGGCAGCAAAAGACAAGTATCGTGAGCTGGCTATAGAAGGAATGCACAGGGACTTGGTGTTCCAGTTTATTGAAGTTCAGACTCTGCTACTGGCTCCTATCTGTCCCCACTTATGTGAGCACATCTGGTTGCTGCTGGGGAAGGTACTAGTACTGTTTTGGCTTTGTCATTTGGTTCAGATCTAAGCTTTTAGTGATTTTTAGTGAGATTGATATCAGACTCGTGAATGTTTTTTCATGTGTAAGTAGGAAAAAATAATGCGTGTTCATACACTCACAGGGCATATGAGCTTATTGTGCATAGAACAGTGAGCATACTGAGTTTAACCTATGTCTTCAAGGTTATGGTAATGATGTGTTTAATAGAGATCACTGTTTATTCTCTTACTAGGAGGTGACTTAAAACTAACCCAAATAATGCAACAGTCATACACTTACAGATGGAACTTTTTTTAACTTGTGTTGGTAGCCTAATTGGAGAAATAAATTTTGTACTGGCAAATGAGGTTATTTAGCTCTATGGCAGATATGTTTGTGTGTGTAATCTTTAATGCGCACTCACAAACGCATACCTGTTGGCAGTATATTTGGTCCTTACAACTGGGTTATGGATAGGTGCTTGTTGAGGTTCATGCTGTTTAAACTCCAGTTTTCAGTCAAGTCATAATGGGTTGAGAAACCCCTAGATACTAATGTCTTTTAATCTTACTACATGTAAATTCTTCCTTTCTTCAAAGCCTGATTCCATCATGAGAGCCTCATGGCCAATTATAGGTCCTGTGGATGAGGTGTTAATTCGGTCTTCTCAGTACCTCATGGAAGCAGCTCATAACCTGCGACTCAATCTCAAGAACTACATGGCACCATTTAAAGGAAAGGTGAAGTCAACTAGTTTTTTTTTTTTTTTTTTTGAAAGCTGTACATATTTGATAATTCTGTGCAGGTTCAAGACTCCTTCGTGGTGCTAAATACTTTGTTTTTTTTTTTTTCTTTCTTCAGAAAAGTACTAAGGAGCCTTCCCAGAAGCCTTCTCACTGTACCATCTATGTGGCAAAGAACTACCCTCCCTGGCAACACACCACCTTATCAGTTCTGCGAAAGCACTATCAGGTGGTCATCCTCTCATTTTCCTTTGGGCCACTTACCTGCTTTTCCATGGGATAATTTTTTATGTTTAGAAAGCCCGTAAGAGGTAACTTGTTACTGAGCTATCTGAATGTAAAGCAAGGTAGCTTTAATATGTTTTATTATGCTCTTAAAACTGTCCAGTAGATTTTAGTGCTTAACAAAAATGTCCTGAGGAGTGTCATTGGGTCGACAGAATGATCTTACTGCTTTTTGACACTTTTTGAGCAAAAAGTGGCCCATGTTATTGTTTTTATCTTTTGTACGTGGATAGCTTTTAAAATATTTCTCTTCCCGGGAGTATTTCTGGGAAAATACTGGTGACTGCAGATTAATGCTGCCTTACTCTGCAAGTGGGCTTAGGAGCATTGTTTTGGTGCTTGAGAGGATGTATACTATTCAGTGACTTTGCAAGAAGTATGCTGAATTGCAATACATCTTCTATTGTAAGTAGAAGACAGAAGCTTTTCTAAAAGCAGCAAAGCCTGTACTTCTGACATAGGGAAACTGATACAATATTGCCTCTTGGCAATGAGCCATTATCCTTCTCAACCTGAACAAGTCAGTGCCATAGCTGATAGATTGCAGAGTGGTGACTTTTTGAATTTACAATATTGAGTTAAACCAATATTCTTCATGTGAAACTTATCTTTAGAGTATTAAATTTTGGGCATTTTATAGGCTTTCTCCGCGTTGATGTCAAAATCTGCTATTCAGTCTGTTGACGCATTAAATGGGAGTTGTTGGGCAGATATCTGAATACTGAGTGTAAAACCTAAATAATTTAGGAAACTAGTGCTTTCACATCTGCTTGAGTAGAGGCTTAAGTGTGAGCTTAAAATGCATTTTGGTAGCAAATTTACTTTATTTTACATATACGAAGATTGCTGTTCTTCAATAGTAGGCACAAGGGATAAATATTCCAAAAGAGAAAGGTGTTGAGCCTACTCCCTGAAGTACGAAAGTCTTTCTAAGATGGAGATTTATATTCAGAAGTCACTTTCTTGTTCTGGGGATAGCATGTAAAATCTAAACGACACAAGAATAGCCAGGATGCTTGGAGAAGTGACAGGCAAGAGTAAAGAAAATGCAGAATAATACTCTGAGTTGCCTGAGTGGCAGAAGATGCGATATTCTTTTTTCGCTCAAGCTTTTAAAATTTGTCCTTAGCGATAATTCAAAGGGATGGGAAAATGAGTCTTTGTGGAATCAGTGATTATAGTTGTACTAGATGACTTTCAGAGGTCCCTTTCAACCCAAACTGTTCTGTGATTACCCTGCTTGCTGGCGTTTTGGGAAAGGATGAAAGGTATATGGTAGCAAAGGGCAAATCCTGTTTGAATGACACCTGTACTTTATAATGGATGTTTGTCAATGTTTCAGGTCAGTGGAGGTCAGCTGCCAGATAATAAAGTAATTGCCAGCGAGCTGAGCACCTTGCCAGAACTGAAGAAATATATGAAGAAGGTTATGCCTTTTGTTGCCATGATTAAGGTAGGTGTCAGGGGAACAGTCTTTGTATACAAAAAAGCTTTCATAAATGAATGAAGGACGTCAGACCAAGGCAGTGATGCCTGTAATTTGGTGCATGGGTCTTGTTGGTTCCTTTATTTCATCCTGTATCTGCTACTAACATCTGACTTCAGTCTCTGTCCTTCCACTTTGCCATTGGTCTTGTATTTTCATGTTTTCGTTTATAAATTTATTTGAGATTTCTAGAGGAAAGGTATTATAAAAATGTCTGCCAAGTGAAATAATGGTCTTGGTAATGGTGAAATAATGAGGCTTGGTAGCTTGTGTATTATTTGGTTATGTAATCTGTACTTCAAGTACGAGTAGATCCCTCTACGTTTGAAATGCTTCGGCTGCGTCTTTCTGACTTTTCTTTTTGAAATGAGAACAAGATGTTGCTCTGGAGACATCAAAACTCTTAGTGTTAAGAACACAACTAGATATACTAGAGCACGCTGTATTTAAGAAAAAGGGTAAGTTCTGAGCCATGAATGGTATTGTGAATTTGATATGTAGTTGTTAATTTTTTACCGCTAATATGCTGGTAATTATTACTTTCCCTGAGTCATGCAAGCCTACAAAAATCTTGACTTGCTTTTTTTTTTGTATAAAACTTTTTACACTTGCTTTTGCAGATAACATTTGAGTAGAGGAACTTAAAAGGTTCAAAAGCCAAAGAATGAACAAAATCTTAAAATGAAAAAAACATTGTGGACTTTACTCATTATTTGTACAAGTTGTGAGGGACTGGTAATGAAAAAATCTTAGTGGGTTTAAATATGTATATTTTCTCTTAAACAGTAGAAAGTGGCTTTTTTTAGATTATTTTTAAGTGTATGCAATTAATGTCTTTTATTTGGTAGCTTTGTTGGATTTTATTAATTCAAGTGCTCTTTCACCCTTCATCTCGGACCATTCTGATTATTGCTTTTCATGGAACCTTAAAAGTCTTCAGAGTAAGAGAGAGCACAAAGCAGCTTTAAAGCTGGTTGCTTTTCTCCTAGATCAACATTTGCTTTATTAAGATAAGTGAAGTTTGTAAAAACAGGCAATAATTCATTAGATCAACTTACACAGTTGCAAAAAACCAGACAAACTTACAGTCATACAAATGTGTTAAGTATGAAACTTACCTCCGTTTGCTTCCCTCAGTCTGGCAGTAATAGCTAATGACTGTACTCTGAGCCTCTCTTGCATTACAGGAATGGGATGAGTTGCTGAGGCTTGCACAACAGTTGCTCCATTTGTTTGTTGGCTTTTATATTGCTTTCAGTACTTTCTGTTGCGACTGTGGCAGTTGGGTTTCTGGATGAAGTTACTTTTATTTTAACATACAAAATAAATGTTATTTCCGTATAGAGAACTTGTTTTGCAACTGTTGTAAACATGTCCAGTTCTTGCATGCTCATCCTTTATTTTAAGCTAGGTCATAAGACTGAATTTCATGTGGGGAAATAGCACTGAAATACTGGCTTATTTTGAGAATTCTCAACCTGCACATTAAATTGACATTCAGTTATTTATGATCTCTAACATTTTTTTCAATACTATATTAAAAATGTATTCTTGCGCTTAAAAAGAACATTAGGCTGTCTACATGTTCTAATTGCTCTTACTCCTCCCTCCCATCAGTGTCACTAACTCCCTGTAGAAAAACATGTCACAGAGAATGACTCGTATGCTAGCCTGTTGTGCCAGCAGAGAGCTCTCATACCTAAGTCTGTTGTTTGCATGACTAATGCAAAGAGTTTGTCATTTTTAGGCATCATTTTACTTGCAGCCCTCAGAGGTTTAATCCAACTTATTTTGTCCTCTAACAGGAGAATCTGGAGAAGAATGGTTCACGTGTTCTTGATCTGGAGCTGGAATTTGATGAACGGGCGGTGCTCATGGAGAATATAGTTTATTTGACAAATTCCCTGGAGGTTAGCATGCATTTGGTGGATTCATTACTTAGTTTTCATCGGGATAGCTGAAAGACCACCATTTCCTAAACATCAGGAAAAGCCTGTTCCCATTAGTTTCTGGGGGGTTGGTTCCTCAATGAATATTATTTTTTAATCAACTTTTTGAATTTTGAGCTTGTTTAAATTTGTCAAATATAGGCATGTAAATCTGTTACGTATAGATACGAGATAGACAGTGGGAGGTGGATAGGGTATTGACATGGCTCCACAAAGCAGGAGGCTATTATTGCAAGATTGATTGTATCTATCATAGTGAACTCCTGTGACCCTTGAAGAGCCATTTTTTGTCTGAGCCAACCAGCATCTTGGCTCTTTCAATAGAAGAATAGAGAAGGAAGTGTTTCAAAGTATTGTTAGAAAGAATGATCAGAATTTTTAGGCTTGTATTCGCTGAATCTTCAAATGGCACGTATGTTCGCTGTAGGAGATTGTTTTGTCGTCTTAAAGGAGTGGATTCTGGGCAGAGCTTTTAAAACTATAGTACATAGTAAAATAGATGCCAATCTAGAAGCAGTTATGCTGGCTTCATATGATAACCAAACTTTAGCTCAAAAGACAGTACTTTAATGAGGGGACTGCTAGGGCCAGTTTGTAAGAAATACCCTGATTCAGGAATTAGAAATCTTGGAAATCGAAACTGCGAGTGTATACTTCATGTTACAGGGTATAAAATGGGTTCGTTTGATTTGTTTCCGTATCTGAGCAAATTCAAGGGCAAGCAACAACTTTTAAAAGTATCCCCAAATTTGAAAAACCCACTAAATTGGGGAAGAGATTGGTTGACTTTTAAATGGTCAAACTTCCATGAAGGAGAATCTTGAGATGCTAGCCGAATTCCTAAGTTTTGAGAAGAATTGCCGAGTTCTGAACCGGGGCAGAATTACCCCATGCCTCTGTATAAGCTGGGAACTAACTGACTGACTATCAGTCCTGCTGCAAAGGACTTTGGGGTTACTGTGGTTGCCAAGTTTAATGTGAGTATGCTCTCACTGCAAATGAGCCGAGCTTCATATTGCCCTACATGAGGAGGAGTTACCTTTGTAGGAGGTGATCAGCAATCAGGGGAAGTTATCCCTCTACTTGGCTCTAATGGACCCTCATCTGGAATACATGTTGGTGTTGTGCTGCCCTCATACCCACCCACTCCACACCCCTCCCCAAATTTAAAAAGCATATTGAGAAATTGCAGCTTGGCAAGTAGAAGGGTACCAACTTTGTTAGGGGCCTAGAGTGCATGACCTATACTAAGAGGTTAAGGGACATAGGTTTGTTTAGACTGGCTCGGAGAGGATCTAATAGCAATCTACTACTACTGGAAGGGAAGTTACAAAGATAATAAAGCCAACGCTCTTCTTGGTAGTGGGCAGATGGTAAAACAAGGAGCAGTAACTACAAGCTGCAGCTTGTGAGGCTCAAATTGGGCATTAGGAGAACTTTTTTGCTAGGATAATAGTGGAACAGATTACCCAGAGAGGCTGTGGGGTGTCTGTCCTTGGAGGTTTTCAGAATTCAGCTAGACAAAGCCACAGCTGACTTGATCAAGTATTGGCTGTAGTCCCACTTCAGGCAGGGAGTAGGTGACCTTCAGAGGTCTCTTCCAAATGATATTTTTGTGATTTAGATTTGCTAATGTTGCCTCATGTCAGTGCACATTATTTCCACTTTACTATGAAAACAATTGTTTGGGAGGCCAGGTAACTTCTATTATTTCCTCCAAAATGATTTAACTTCTGTATGTTCTTCTTTCTCCTCCTCTCTTCCTACAGCTAGATCATATTGAGGTGAAGTTTGCTTCTGAAGCAGAAGATAAAATAAAAGACGACTGCTGTCCTGGAAAACCATTTTCAACTTTCAGAACTGAGGTAAACACAGATATTCAGATATTGGAAATATCAAATTAGAAAGAGGTATTCACATTTTTAAAAAAATGATTAGACTTATGAATTGAAAACTTTCCTCAGGCATGAACGTTTTATAGGAGGGCTGAATAGGTCAGCATTGGAAACAAACTTACTGACTCAAATTAAGCTCAAATTACGAAGGAGTAAGGCATCAATATTTTGCTTTCCAGAAAACTGTGAGGAATTTGGTCTCAGTGCAGTTCCCAGGAGATGTTATTCTGTATCATGAACACTCATCTTTCTTACTGACCCCTTGATCCATGCCTTTGCTAAAACAGTCCAAGGAATAAAGGTGTATGGAGATTAAATCACCTCTCAGTTGTGATCCCTTGGGTGACACGGCACTGAGCGTTCTTTATACTGCTACTGCCTGCTCGATCAGTTTTGTAATAAATGGATTTTTTTTCATCGTTTTGACTCAGTACCCCTTAAAAATGTCTTCTGAAACAGTTATGATTCTTTTTTCTCTATATTGAGCTGTAAATGTGACAGTATATGATAGTTTTAAGACTTTCAAAGATTGAATCTTTAAATTGTGTTGACTGGAAGACCATTAAGAAATGAGTGATTTGAGCATAAACAGGTGTATGGCTAAAAAAAGAGATGTAAGAGTATGAACTACTACCCTTCAGAAAAGGATAGATTCTCATCTAGTTAAAACATAGGCCAAAAACTGGGAATTAAGAATTCTGGGCTCTGGTCTTATGTGAGTATGATTAAATCTCACTTCACTCTGTTATACTGAAGTTTTGGTGTTGCTTATCCTACCAATTTTAAGGTATTATAAACTTCCTTGTGAAACTTTCGTTGCTTCTTTGCTGAATCCTAAAGCGAATCTTAATTTTTTTAAATGTTTATCTATTATTTTATAGTGGACTAATAAATTGCATTCAGTTACATAAATATAAAGCCTTTTTTGAAGTATTGCTACAGCTGTGTCATGGAGTCTTGAAAGAGGGAGTTGTAGGCAAGGTTGAGTGATATTCTATAACAGTGTATTATCTTGTATTAATATACATATATATCATGTGTTAATATTTCTGACTCTAGTTCTTTTTCAACACTTCTAAACAAAACTTCTATTTCTCTAAATATGTTCTAAAAAGTTTTATATGTATACTGTAGCTAATATTCTAAGATTTGTGGGAGTACTTGCCTTCTCTCACTGATAGTCAATGTTCCTAAATGAAAGGTTATCCATCCAGAATGTTTGCAGGTAGGGAATGTTTATTTGCTTCTTAGTTGCTTGTTTTCTCTGAAACTTGGACCACAGACACAGATTCCCCTTCAATGTTTTTATTAACTTTCTTACAGCCCAGTGTATCTGTGTTTATGGTGAACCCTCAACCATCAAATGGCCACTTCTCTACAAAAATAGAAATCAGACAAGGAGATAGTAGGGACACAGTGATCAGGCGCTTAATGAAGATGGACAGAGGAATCAAAGGTAAAAGGCTAGTGGAGAACACAGCCATCACACAATGATTAGATTAATGTTTCCAGGGGTGAAGTAGAAACAGAAAGCTGCTGAAGCGTGTCCTGCTGTTATAGATACTAAGAAAGGAACAAAAGGTTTTTGGTTTTGGGTGAATAAGAATAAAGATAACATGGAAATAAGCAGGCTTTCCTAGGGGTTTTCCCTCATCATTAATCTTTTTTTCTGCCACTAGTACACTGAAACCTAGTTTCTGCTGCAGATTAATATAGGTGGTATTTTCCCTTGTGATTTGAATTCCCAAGAGGAGTGTGGTCCCATAACTGGTTATATATAACTTCTGCCTCTTTTGTTTTGGCACCCCAGGGCTGAAAGAAATTACCAAATTGATTTTTCCTTTTAGCCTAAGGTGAATTCATTCCTAGAAAAGGAATGAAGCTGACGTTTTAAAATTTCCTCTAGTTTAATCTTCCTTGCATGTTTTGCCTCTAATAATAACCAGTCCATGGATATAACTTTTATGGCAGAAATTCTTTTCATAACGTCTTAGATTTATCTGAGCTTCTTTTTTTTTTTTTTTTTTTTTTTTTTTTTTTTTTAAAGAAGTTACCTGTCAACCCCAGCTGCTACACTGGTTCCTAGCCTAACAATTTTCCACTGTGAACCTGGACAGAAATTACCTGTTCATTCAAAATTGGGATTGTTCAGTAGCCTTTCAGTTGTCATTGATGTGTGCTAAAATGGAACCAGTAACTTCTGTGCGAAATGGCCAGTATGCCTTTTCAATCTCATGAGCTATGACTTCCCTCTGTCCTCTTTATTTTCTTAATGCACTAATGCTTTATTTTCGGCCCTTAAATTTTGAACCCTACAGTGATAGGAGAAGGAGGCGATAAGTACTAGAAGAATTACTGTGAAAGCACTCAAATAGCTGGCAATAGTGAACTCCATTGTGAAAGCATTAAGACAAATGCATTTTATCGCCTGTGAACCAGATTTTGCTTTTAGGCTGTTGTGAAACTATCTATTCCATCCCCCGATGCTACCTAGTTTCCAGTAGTGGAGATGCAAGCAAGAGCAGTTGGGAAGCCAAAATTTGCCGCTCTCTCTGACAGCAAGTCATCACTGCTCACTTATCAAAAGGTGAAGCCTCAGGAGTGACACTAACACTGGCTCAGATAAAGGTCTCCAGACAGAACTTGGAGGCGCTGCTTTTGCGACCGGCAGATCTGCTTAGGGCACGTATAGCACTCTGAAATGTATGGTTTACTGTGGTTTGGGAACTTGAATTCCATCACGGCAAGCTCCATAGGGTTTGGTGGATGTGGCAGTGTGGGTTTTTTCTGGTTTTTTTTTTTTTTTGGTGAGAATCCTGGGATTGCATTAGGTGTTGACAAAAAGTAATTATGGGCAGCTGCTTTGCTTTCTAAATAATTTTCTATCCAGTAACCTTATGTAGGGATTTTATTCTACCACGTAAGTACTCAAGACATGGTGTGCGTTGACAGAACGGAAGGGGAGAGATGCTGCTGTCTACCACCATCTTTGTCACTGTCTCTCTGCATGGCATTGGGAAATTTTAGCCTCAGTTTCTTGTTTTTTGCTTTGTTGCAGTTGGAATAAAAGCTGCCTCTTAGTGCTGCTGTGATTGATTTAATTAAATGTTTATGTGATATCTTGACATTCTGAAGGACGACTTTGTAAATGGTAGTATTTAAGGGGGAGGTTTTTTCAATTTTTGTGCTGAAATGAGTTTTTTGGGTTTTTTTTGTCTACTCATTGCTAATTTTAGTATTTCTCATTTCTCTCTCTGCTTGGAAGGTAGTTTAGCATGAAATTCTGTGTTTGCCTATAGTTCCATGTCAAAGATATTATTAAAACAAACTTTAAGTTTCAGCAAGTATAATGAAAGAAAATAGCTTTCTTAAAGGAACAGCAGCTGTGCTTTTGTTGGAGAATCCAGGAATTAAAAATCAATCTGAACCACTGTAGATTGGCAGCTGAGTATAAAAGGAAAACTGGACTTGACCCAAAAGCTTGTGACAGCCAAGTTTCATTTTTTTCCTGCATCTTTTAACAGCTTGTGTTTATTCTAATGTTTATCTCTGGAACAAAGACAACTGCATATTGATGATGGTGCACGCTGAAATAGTACCTCAAAGCCTTAGAGGGAGGAATATATGATAATGTGCATAGCAAAACACGAGCAGGGGAAGTGCATTGTAGATGTCTATACAAATTTACTATCGTTCCGCTAACTGGATATTTTGAAATGATTGGAAACAGGTACTTGAGAGATTAAACAGTGATTCTTTCTAACTCTTTTGTTATTTCCAGAAGGTGTCACTGTTCTGTTGGTGCACGGGTAATAAAAGGTTACACTTGGAGGAAGATTTGGCTGAAAGATTCCAGGCTCCCTAGTAACTTTTTTGTCTGTTTAGCAATCTTTTATCCGTGTGAATTTTAAAAGGGAAGAGTATTTAAACAGCTCTCACCACCTTCCTTATTTCAGTTTCTGAAATTCATTTCTCAGAAAATGAGACACAAACTGTTCAGTTACTCATAGCTGTCACAAAAATAGATAAGGCAAATTTCGTGTTTGGGATATGGCGTTAGGACTTGGTATTCATATTTGTTTTATCTCCATTTCTGCTAGTAACTCGCTATGTAACCACTGAATGACATCTTTTTAGTGGGTGTAAATCTTACTGTGGATGTTGTTTCTTGGAGAATTTATTTCCTTGGAAGTGTTTCAGAAGTATCAAGTGCTTTTTCTTAAGCATTGTTTTGATTATTTCAGTTGATTTTATAGTCTGTGTGTAGAACCTGTAACCTAATTAGGAAAGTGTTTTGGTTTTTTATTGTAGATCTCTCTAAAGTGAAGCTGATGAGGTTTGATGATCCTGTACTTGGACCACGCCGTGTTCCAGTCCTTGGTAAAGAAGAAGTGGAGAAAACTCCTATTTTAGAGCAAGCAATTTTCCATATTGACCTGACCGAGAAACATGTTCACATTACTGAGAATGGTCTGACAAAGGATGTTGGCGACACAATTGTTTATCTAGTTCATTAAGTTGGCACATGCCTGGTTTGATCATTGACATTGAGAAAGTTCGTAGAGTGACTTTGAAAGCATCTGTAATAAACCAAGATGAATATTTGCTCTTTTTTCTTTTTCTTTTTCTTTTTTAAAAAAGAACCCCAAACAACCTAATTTTGCATGCAAGTTCACCCCTTACTCTTTTAGACATGGATATAATAAAATTATTTTCCTCCTGCCATTTGGCTCTTTTTGAAAAAACAATTTTCCCAAATGTTAACATGACAAATTCTCTTCTTCAACTGTGGCCTGTGTTTTCAGAAGCAATCTAGTGTACTACATTTGGAATTCCTCTCCTGTCCGTATGTGCTGGGATCCATATATAGAAGATGTTTGTAGATCCTGTATCATAGATGGAGAGGAGAAAAGTTGCTTGAACACTTCTATATTTGTCTTTTTGATGACTGAAGTGACGTTGAACACAACTAGGGCATTTTATGGTGACTAGCAGTTCAGAAGTAATTCCATGCTGAAGAACTCTTAAGCAAAAGTTAAATATGAAAGTTTCGGGTGCTTCTCCAGCATATGAAATGCCTTTAGCAAAATGTTATGAAAAACAGACTTTTTCCTTCTTGCTTTCTCCATAAAAGTGTTTGCAAATCATTAAGTGGAAAGGTTAAATGTTCTTCTCACAGATTTTAAATTGTGATTTTTCTGGTAATTTCTGGTCTCTCACAGGTTGCCCCCCCCCACCTTCTTTTTTTAGTCATGAGTCAGCACAGACAACTTCAGAGCTTTTTTCTGTGGAAACTTGTAAAGGTGACTGGTGACAAACAGCGTACTTTATTCTGCACAATTGCACTCGGCCAGTTTCACAACTCCTGCTGCGTACAGTGTATCATTTGTACTTCCTCTAATAATATGTTGTGTTGGTGGGAAGAAAGGGAGTAGCATAAGACTGCCATACTGACATGACCAAATACTGTTGGGTGTGTCATTTTCTGCCTCTCCCTTTATCATCCCCTTTCAAAAGGCAGTTTTTGTTTGGGTGGATATACAAGGACAGCCGTTCCTTTCTGTTGATCCCCTGTAGTCCCACTAAGCAAATACTCGTGCTGCTCTCTAAAAAGATGAGGCCATAGTCTAGGGCAGCACATCATAGGCATGGCTTCTAGGGATTAGTAGGTGAAAAGTTTGTTTATATACTGCTTCTGCTGCAGAATCTCAGGAGAAGAGCTATTAACCATAACCTTGACAGACCTTTTAAGTGTTTGGAATATCAACAGGTAAGAGCTATATTTGTGATTGGCAGAGGTGTCTGCTTGCTGGTTCAGATGGGCTTGTCCCCAAGTGCATTTAATTTCCTGATAGGCAGCCAGAGTGTTCTTATTGCAGCTTTTCTGAGCAAAGACCGCTGGCTGCAGCATCGCCTCGTCTGCCTTGAGCTAGCTGATAGGCAGACTGCAGTTCCTTTCACCAGCTGCAGCTTGGACTTGGGAAGAAACGGTGGTGCCATGACACAGGAGCATGAGATGGACCAGGCAAGTGTTCCAAGCACGGTGAATGAGAACTGATAGCTCTGCCACACCTTTACAGAGCTTTAGGTAGGAAAGCAAGCTCCAGACCAGGGAGTCACTAGAATATGAAGGTCAGAACCTGGAATCATATAGGAGTAGTCACTCTATGTGGCTGTTACTTATACTACTTTTAATAGATACCTGCTCGTGACCACTGCTGGAGACAGGTTGCTAGGCTTTACATATCTTACCTGGCTGATTTTTCTTTCGGTACTCGTATGTGCTCCTGAGTTGAGTTCAGACATACAGAAGAAGCTAAAACTGTTTGACGCTAGGAGAAAATAGAGATTGTTCACTGATTATTTCCATCTAGGAGACACTAATGATCTCAGACACCATTAATGACATATGTAAGTCCTCATCATTTTACGAGCCAAAGCGGGGGGGGGGGGATAGATCTACCAGGCAGAGGCATCCCTCTTCACCTTCCCCATTTCATGAAACTGTTTAGTGATGTCCAAGGTTCTTTGTTAAAGGTCCGTTTTTGTTTTGTGTGAGTGAATTCCCATCCTAACTGGAAAAATAAAGCCAAACAGGTAAATCCCATGCTGCCTCTCATACATGGCTATTTCATTAGGTGTTCAGAGCTTGCTTTCTGAGCGTGATGAAGTGTCTGTGTTAGTGCTGCTCTGATGCAGACTTCAGAGCAGAACTCCTATGACAAAAAGCTGGGGACTTCCAAAGTGAACAGAAGATCTACCTTCATTTTTCTGTTTAGTATGTGGTTCATTCACACTTAATTATCTCTGAGAAGTTCTTGCTCTATAAATTATTTGCTTTCCAGCACACAGTAAAGGTTGGAAGTGAAAGACAGTGATCCTCTGATTCTTCTAGTACTTTGATCCATTTCTCTCTAGACAGCCAGGCTGCCTCTGACAACAGCTTGGTAGTAAGAAAATGAGGTATTTTTAACTCTGCTATTGCAGTGCCTGCTGAATGCCTGCCACTGCAGGAATGGGAACCTGATCTGAACTCTATGTTCACTGGAAGAAGAATTGCAGCCACCAGGGCAGAAAGTTTAAATGTCCTCACAGGCTATGAGACTTTGATATCAAGCTTTTTACTATGGGTAAGTATATAGAATCTTTGATAGTACACTGCAGTATCTTCAGTTAGCAAGGGTGTAGACCCTTAGAGTTCTGATAAAGATTCCAAGTGGCAAGGAGCTGATGTGCTCACAAAAACAAGAGAAAGCTTACTGAAGTGGAAGCATGTAATGTGTAAGTAGCTCCTGGCTTCAGGTATGAGTAAAGGCTCTGTTGATGACTTCATAATTTAAGGTTGTATAACCTTACCTCATTTTCTTAAACTGCTGTTTTTTGATAGTGTCCAAAACTGTTACAAGGTGTGTGGGATTTTGGGTTTTTTGCTTTTTTTTTTTTTTTAAACTAAACTATGAAATGTTGATTTGCCTCGTCTGTCTACTTTCTCAGTGCTCTTAGTGAATAGGGTGAAGTAGACGTATTGATGGAGAGGTTAGCAGAGATGGAGAGGAAAGGGGGACCAAAGCTTCCAAGGTAGGCTGGGAATAACAAGGGTGGAGGAACGTGAGCTTAGAGGCTTCTGGACGGGAGTTTATATAGTGTCGCGTTAGAGAGGCACTTAAACGTTGCAGACATTATCATCAGTTCTTTTGCTTCTGCACCTCAGCCTACAGCGGGAAGGCAATTTGTGCTAATCCCTGACACAGCCTGTAAACACTTCTGGCAGCATATAAAGCTAGTGAGGCTAACGGTGCAGTACACACAAATAGGTTTGGCTATTTAGTAGCAGTCTATTGATTTCTGCGCAGAAAAGAAGTAACCTGCTTTCCCTTGTGTTCTCTCTGCATAAAGTCACGTAGCATGCTTCTGCATTATTTGCTTTGCCTAGAATCATGTCCCAGTTAAAACTCCCACTAATCTGCTCCTTTTTCTCTGTTTTCTGCAGATAGTCCTCATGCCCACACACCTAACTTTCTGACCAAATTCGAGGTGCTTATTCCTAATTAGCAAGATGCACTTCGACCTGTCTGTAGCTCATACCACGATACATTGCTGTCGCTTTACTTGAGGTTATGTCCTTCCAATTTCATAGCTATGTGTTGAATGTCATTTTGGATGAGTACTGTTGAATAAACAAGCTCTGTCTGTATAGCTAAAGAAAGGAAATACTTTTATGATTTCTCTCTGGCATTACAGATATCTCCATAGTGCCCTTATGTACCTATTTATCACTTTGGTGGCTCCGGAAAAATCTCCTGCTGTGGGAGAAACGTGTAGGAGCAAGTCAAAATATGAATATCCGTATCGAGCACTCTCCCCCAAACTGCTGATCTGTAGTCTCTGCAGCAAATCTGGTTTATAGCGCGTTATCAGGTTCTTGAATGCTGCTGCTTGTTTGACTTCCTTTAAGCAAATTTGGTTCCGTGGCTGAGAACAGACGTTTCTGTTAGAGGTGGCATGAAAAAGGCATTTCCAGATATGTCAAGGTAGATGCCAGATTTTCTCTGTAATATCCAAAACAGAAGGCTAGCATATTGGATAAACGATGGCAGAACCTGTACATTGTACAATTAAACTCCTTATATTGCCATCGGTAGCCAAGAGGAAATTTTGGATGGATGCTCTTCCCAAACGTGTATTCTGATCACCGCTGCTCCGCAAAAAGCAGAAGAGTAGCAGCTTCCTTAATTTCCGTGTGTGAAGGCATCTTTATTAGTTCCAAGAAGCAGGATATTGATAAACATCTAATGTATTGAGGAACTAGCAACGAGATAATCTGAGCAGATAAAATTTATTTCAGTCTTAGAACAACAAATGTTGCTACTTTATTGTTTTGTGATCTGTGGTTGTGTTGTTTCATTAGCAGTTGTCTAAAGAGCAAGGAGAATCTTTTTTGTTTGTTTGTTTGTTTTTAAAGCTGATTTGTAAGTGTGGGGTGTGTGTGCAGTTTGTTTTTTCCCCCTATAATGGAAAAATTATGTTCTAGTGGTTCAGACAAATTGACTTTTTTTTTTAAATGAGCAAGACAGAGCTAATAAACTGAAATTTTCTTCTACAATTTTTTGTTGACTTCCAGGAGATGTCGCTGCTGTGCTGGTTCATGTGCATTTTCTGTCCAATAAAAGCTAGTGACAGGATGAAGAGTTTTTTTAGTATTAGATTCTCCACATTTCTAACAAAATTCTGACCTTACTTAATAGTCTTCCTATTATGATTTTGGTTAGAGAAGTCTGCAAAGGAAACTGGGAGTTTTATTTATTCTCTTCAGATTTTTTGTTTTCAATTGAGCAAGTTTTTGAAATACGTACTTTTGCAGTTATAGAGTAAAGAACAGGCCTCTTGCTTTCATTTCCTGGCTCTTCCCGTATTCTGGAATGCCATAGAATATTTCTTTTAACTTGTATGTGCTTCAATTTTCCTCTGTCCAGAAACACATAATTTTCTGTTCAGAAAAGTTATGAGATATGAATAACATTTGATGAAGAAAAGTTAAAAGGTTCAGTGGAGCAGCAAGTGACCTCACCTGCATCGCTTAATGGCAAAACACACTAGATAAAATCTGAAATTGCCCTTCAATTTCAGCAATCTAAAAATAAACTCAAAATGGAAAGTAGTTTTTTTTTTTTTCCTTTGCAAATTTCTCCAAAGTGAAGTGAGTACATCTTTGGTGCTTGTCTGCCTGTCTCATGACATGCAAGAGAACCTGCAGTGTCAGGTCAAGTTGTCTTCTGCACTTATCCTGCCAAAAATTGAGTTCACATCATCAAGAACAATGTGGGAGACCGTCAATAAAAGACATGAAACTTGTCCCTTCTGTGTGAGCAGTGTTCCTGTTATACTGGTACTTGACCAATTTCTGTCTCACTTAAATCAAAACAAAAAAAACACCCCTTAGGTTTCCCATGGTGTTAGCAAAGTGCTGGGCCTACTTATTTGACTAACTGAGAGGATTTGAACTTGGTATTTTTTAGCAAGGAAAGCTTTAAAAGAAGAATGTGTTCTTGGCTGCCTTACAGAAGTGTTAAAACTGCACTTAATTTCTTGTCTACTTGATTTATCTTTGTCCTTCCAAGTTGATTCAATAGAATGCTTTAGTTTTCAAGCCTTTTGCTGGCAGTGAACTGGAGTAGGCAATAGCTCCTTTCTACTCCAACGAATTAACTGATTTCTCATGTTACTGTTGTTAAATTGCTGCAGGACTATTTCAAATACTGTGGCTCACCAGCTGTTGGGAACCACTATGACATCGGGACTTGGAGTGCTGTGATGTCGTCCCTGTTCTGTTCATTTGAATCTCTCTGAGTAGAGAGAGGCGTTTCTTTTTTCCACTCCTGGTTGAAAGCCCCTGCTCTGTTTACAGGATGAGTCTCTCTTTGTCTGAGGTCCAGTCGCCGTTAATTCTTTCCTTGATAACACCTGAAGATGGGACTTCTTTTCTTTCTCGTGTAAAGCAAGGAGTAAAGTTAGTTGCCTGTTCCTTAGTTGACATTATAAATAATCTGGTATAAAAATCATATAGCTGATACAGCTGATGTACAGTCCTTTGTATTTTCAAAGGGTCACTATTAATATTCATCAGTTCTTGAACTATTTGTGGGGTAGTGGTAAACATCCATCCTATTGTACAGCTGGGTTGTTGGCATGATCTGGTTAATGTAAAAGGAGGACTAAAGGCATCCTAACTTCCCCTTTCCACCCGTCCTCCTTGTGTTGCCTCTTGTGTAATTCATGTCTTGAGGCATCAGCACAAACGTGGCCTATTAAATTAGTTGTCTGCTGTCCTACTATGCCTTGGAAGTAAAGTTTCACGCTGTCTAAAAGAGAGAGTTATGCCAGGATGCAAGCAAAATAATCCCACTCTGGAAAAAAATCAGTATCAGTAGCACAACCCTTGAAAGTCCCTTCCAGTAACATCCTGACTGATTTGTTGCATTATCGCAAGTGTAGGAGATCTGTGCTGTGAAGAGATTTCTAGCCTTTAACTTTCAAGAGGTAACTTGATATAGATGCAAGATGCTGAACTCTTTATGGATATTGTAATTTGCTTTTGAAGTACTTGGTACCTGTTCGTTGCTTTCTTCATTGAAGAAGGGCAAATCACTTCACTTCACTTGAAGGGCAGTGGAGATCAGCTTAAAGAGGAGCAAAAAAAAGACATGAGGGCAAATGAATCTTTAAGAGGCAACTGATATAAATATAAAATGGTAGCGCTAAAATCATGAATACTGTTTCCTCCCTCCTCCCTACCACACACAGACGCTTCAGATTTGGGGTGACCTTGCTCATAAAAAGTCAAGCTCTTTTATGTATTTATTTTTCTTCCCAACGTGTAGCAAGAAGCCTGGAGAGCCCGTGACAACCCAGCCAGCCAGCAAGATTGGTATGTCTGCTATCACAACAGTTATGTGGACTGGTGGAGATTGGAGCACTGGCCTCTTTGATGTCTGCAGCGACAAGAAAATTTGTAAGAGTTTGGTGTTCTTTTGTTGTTCCTTGAATGCCTCTGTTGCTCAAATGTAGGTTGGTTAACACTTTAGGAACTGAAGATCAGATGCTCTCTTGTGACTTGAGTAACGCAATGAATATGCCTAAGATGTGCTCTCAGTACATATGAGTCTCTATTCACTTCATAATGCTTACAGAAGTACTTATCTTGAATCTTTAAAGGTTGGGATAGATTTTATGAGTCTGATTTGCATGGGGAGAAGAAACTGAAATCTTAAATGGATTATGTGGTTTATTGACTGGAACTCAGTGAGTCATTGGATGGGTCAGGAACAGCGCTTGTCTCCTAACTCTAGAGTGCTGCCTGGAAGCTCCATTTCTTTGGTTCCTGTAAAATGTCCTGTCCAGTAGAGTTAAATTTTGCTCTCTCTCCTTTCATGAAAACAGGGCAACTTGTATAGGCTGATTTGGATGCTGATGTCTGTGAAAACAGAGCAAAGACTACCTTTTTTCTTTGGAAACACGAAGCTGTAGAAAAGGACAATTTCATGGGAATTGAAAGGAACGTTTCCTTGAATTCATGAGTTAAATGTCCAAGCCTCTGAGAATGGAATTTCAAACACCTCCCTCTCTTCAGCTTTGGGTACTTCAAGCAGTCTCTGATTGGTGGTCTTGATCCCTGGTGGGAAATGTCTGTCTCCTCTCTCTGCACGGTATAAGGATATACCCTACTCAGGACTGCGGATTCTGCTCTGAGCCAGACGTGGTATTTAGGTGTTGCGACTCTAGGCAAAACAACACCTCAGAATTGTGTATTTATGCCTTAGTTTTCTCTACCCCACCCGCCTCAAGGTCTGAGCGAGCTAAAAACTGAGCTTTTCTTGTGGGGTTGGTTTCCATTTGGGTCAGGCATCTCTGCACGGTCATGCAAGAGCTGCTGCTGAAGGCAGGCCGCAGGAACCTGTGCCTTGGGCAGACTTGACCTGGTCAGTGGCCCCTTGGCTAAACCTAAGCTCATCTTGTGGCTGCTTCCTGGGCCCTCCGTTGATCATTTGGGGAAAATAGCACTTCCCCTGCTTGTGGACTCTCCTTGTTTGTGTCATGACCTCCAGGGAGGGAGTGTCTACATTTTCTCCTGTTGCTATGGGGATCAACTGATAGAAGAAGGAAAAAGGGTTATAGTTCTAACACCTGTCTAGTTCTGGTTAAATTAAAGGAAGATTTAAAAACCCTTGTTTCCAATTTACTATTTTTTTGTGGGATTGATTTCTCCAAGTCTCAAAAATATGGCAGGCTGGCTAAGGTAACCGGTGGAAGATGTTTAAATTTTTTCTCCTTCGTGTATTTACATGTAACATTGTAAGCAATGTTAAGTGTGACATACAACAGACAAATTCCTTTCCTACTGCTAAGCAGTGGCTGTGAAGTGAATTCTTGTTACTTCATCTGTCCATAGTGTCCTAGTAATCAGCTGTTGCATTGGGCGATCTAAGGAAGGTTGGATAGCGTTCATATCTTCCATAGAAACCATTGGGGATCATTGTCCCTCAGCACCTTTGCTCTCTTGTAGTCATTCGCAGTGCTTTTCCGTGTTGGGGGGTTTCTACATTGTCCTTCTTGTGCAGGCTGTGTCTTCCTGCTATCTCTGACCAAGGAGAGTTGGTCTGTTATTGAAAACAGCGTGCAAAAAGACACTTAATCTTTTGCATGTAAACCCTGGCTGAAAATTAAAAGGAAGTGAACCTACTTCTCATGTCTGTGGTATAAAGGGGAATCCATTATTGTTTCTCTGATCTTTAAAAAGTAACTGTTAGGGTAATTTCTGATCCATTAAACAGAAGATATGTGACTAATAGCAGGGGTTTTTTTCCTTTTGATGTTTTATCTCTTTAATAGCAAATTGCACTTTTGTGTCCTTCCCCCCTGCTCTTTATTTTGGGTGGAGGGACTCACACTACTTTCCTCCAGATTTCTTTTATCTGCCTTTCATCATACATTAGGAGGAGAAAAACATAATCCTTAATTTGCATGAAGGATATGAATTGGATTCAAAGGGCAGAGCGCTTCAATATTGCTTTCTGAATATAGTTCTCTGGTGTTTATTCTGACACCACTTTAAAAGCTGGGGTACTTATTTGATGGAGAAAGATTTATAAAGTTTGGCTAAATATGTGGAAGTAAGTGTTTGCAATTGCCCACCTGACTGATCCTGAAACAGGACGGGGGCAGTTAAACAGCTTAGGCTGGAGTAGTGGGCTACTAGTCCCCTTTTTTTTATCGGACAGGAATCCAGCTGAGTGTTGGATGCACATGTGAAGTCAAACCGTGCCACGCTGGGTGGTAGCAGTGTCAATTTTGCACCTTTAACTACTCCAGGGTTCTCTAGAAGAGAAAGCAAAGGCAGGTTTCTGCCTAGTTTTTCAAGTGAATGGATTTTTTTTGGTTCCAGTTTTCAGCTGGGTTGATTGGGCCATAGAAATGTATTGCATTAAGGACTGGTTACTTAAAAGTGAGAGCACATCTCTGACCTCCGAACCACTACTCTGCACAACATGAAAAGTGTCGTTCTTCAGCGTGTTTTAATTTCTCTTGCTGTGTCAGCTGAAATTGCAAGTACAACTCTAATCGGTATCCTCATCACAGATTAGGTGGGAGGGTTGAGACCCTATTATTTTCCAGCCTTTGGCATTTAAAAAAAAATCACTGAAATACTGCAGGAATTTCATAAAGAGAGACTTGCGGATGAGGTTAACAGAACAGGAAGCATTATATTATTATAATAGTATTCCGTTAAAAGTACTGTCAGTATTATCACAAAACAGATTTAAACAATGTGATTTCATAGTAAAGGTTCTAGAGCTTCAGTTCTGCTAAAGATGTTTTCCTAGATGTATTTACTCCTGAACTGCAAACAAAGGCAATTTAAATGAATTGCAAGAGACTGATAGCAAAACGTTTGTGAATGTACCTTAGGCAAAAATAGTGAGAGAAAGAACTAACATATCCAAATAAGAGTCAGCATTGTCTTATTAGATACTCTGAGGTTGATGCATGTTGCCCTTTTCTTCTTTGTTTTTCCTAGAACAATGCTTCATAGATTTTTGAAGTGTGTCTTCACTACTGTTGGAGATACAGCTAGAGCAAATTTTCCATTCATCCAGTTAATAGCACCATTTCAGCTAGCAGTGGAGATAATACCCGGAACCCAATGTGTGGTGGGATTAAATCCAGTGTTGGATGTAGCGTTTGCCATAAATATGAGAAACTTGTTGGAATTCAAGCAAGGTTTTGTGGGGGCAGGGAAGCTTTATAAATGTAAAAATATATAATGTATGTATATGTGGCTGTCACTATTTTGAAAAAGTGTTATCCAAACTACTTTTGAAAGAGTATTGACTTATACCACATATGGTTTGACTACTGTGAATTCAGGATTTAAAGTCCCATTCCCACATATGAGACTTCTAGCAAGAACTGTGTTTATCCGTTTATTTGAAGGCAGAAAAGTTCAAAAACCTTAGTAATTAGAACTGACCTATTGTGCAAGTCGCAGTAGTCACCATCTTAAATCTTTCGGAAGTGTCTTGCTACCTGAATAACAAGGGGAGAGGGAAGAGGAGACAAAACCCAGGGTGCTGGTAGGATGACAAAAGCTAGTGGAAAAACAATCCTCTTTGCTATAGATCTACTGGCATTCTGATAACTGTAGCTGGAATTTTTCTTATCTGGTACCCCTCTGAATTTTGGGCCATAAACTGTGCAGATTATCCAATTGTTCACCCTGCTGGTAAAGGTGAGATGGCAGTACTCGATCGCTCCTGTGACTGTGCTTGCTGGCAGGTGTCTGCGGTACCTTGTGCAGCGCGTGTCTGGAATGCAGCCTGACCAGGCGCTACGGGGAGTGCTTGTGTTTCCCACTGCTTCCAGGGTCCACCTTAGCATTAAGAGTTGGTGCCAGAGAGAGGTACAAAATACGAGTAAGTCTGCCTGTGGAGCACTCTTTCTTTGTAAATTGATTTCATTCAGCGTATGTAATGATAAGAGGTACCCGCGTTCCCCAGAGACCCCACTGTTGTAGCTGCGCATCTGTAGCCAGAGCCAGATGCGTTAATGTTCTGGAGCGTGGCACTGAATAATGATGGTGTTGAAATGACGCAAATGTGAAAAGTTCAGTTAGGACTCAATCCTGGAGAAGATGGATTCCACCCACTACCCCCCACACACTGTTCACACAGGCTTTTGCAGGATCCTAGAGCCAGATTTCTTTTTGATCTGAAAATCTGTTCTGTTACCTTGATACATTTTTAAAGCAGGACTAATGCATTAAATTTCAAGAATTGCCCTTTTTCTAGCACTGAGGCAAAAACAGCACTTATTTTATAATAGAATGCCAACTCCAAACAACTACTCATGTTTTTAAAGTACTCTGTAAGAACAGGATTGTATGTGCGTCTGCAGTTGTTGTAAAATTACATAGCCCAGAGCTGATGCTGTAAAATATACATTACTGTGTAATCAGGATGGCAAGGAACAAAGAATACTTTCAAATCACACTGGAAAACTCAGTTAAGGGCTTGTGAAGCATTGAGTATCCTAAAAGCTTTTTCTCTCCAGTGAAATTTGTGGGTGTCCAGCACCCTGCAAGATCTAAGTCTTCCCTACTTTAAAAGAGTAGTAGGCAAATGCTCTTAGGTCATGGGCTGAAATTAGGTATCACTTGTACCTGAGTCAGTCCAGGGTAATTCACTGAATTACGTCGGGATCTGGCCCGTGAACTCATTCTTCTTGTGGAGTGATCGTGGTATGGCATGCATGATGAAGTGGAAAAGCTGATTCATGGTCATTCCACTTGTATAAAACTGTATTAATTCTTCTTCCAGGGGACCATTTGTGAAGATTGGATAGCAGTTTATTGCTGCTGGCCTTTTGCTGTCTGTCAAGTGGCCCGAGAACTGAAGAGGAGAGCTATGACCCAGATCTGTGAAGTAAATGCTACACCTTTAGCTGAAGATGTCCTAGTTAAAAAAATTCCCAGCAAGGGAGCCTGAGTCATGATTCTTTCTATCCATCCATTCCTTCTCCCTCGCCACCCACAATGCAAAATGCCTTGCTTTTAAAAATAAAATGCATGAGTACTTTATAGCAGTCTCTTTACTGCTTCTTGTCACATTCTGTATGATACACCCTGATATAATGCCCAGTGACCTGCTTTCTGCAGTGTAGTCATATTAAAACAGTTTATTGATGCAGCAATGGCTTGAAAGTATGAACCTAGATTGCATTCTTTGCCTGGACCTGTGATCTGAAAATTTAGTGCAGAACGCTTTAATTGAGGAGAACAACAGTGACCAAACCATTCTGCCACTCAGGAGATTTTATAGCAGTAAGATAAAATAAAGGGGTAGTAGCACAGTGTAATGGTGAGAAGTGAGACTGGAAGCAGGACAGGAAGCCCTTCCCTTCCCTGCGTTGTGATTGCCCATGCGTCTCTGTGTCTCGCTTGCGCCCCATTTAAGATAGGAATAATCTGACTTGCTCTCTCTTTATCTAGAGGTTTCAAAGCACTTAAACGCTCCCCCCTCTAAAACTTGGTGCTAAGTGTTATTGTTCTGTTTGATCGTAGGTTACTATTGGAGATGAAGAATGTTAACAATTGAATATAGTAGCTCTAAATCAGACTGGCAGGAATTCTGAACTCAAGTCACCATCCCAGATCAGGAGGAATTTGGCTAGTGAAACTGAGAGCTGAGCTCCTTGTTCCCTGGCTTCACTACCAAATAACTTTTCTTTTCCACATGGTTTGTTCCAGGCTGGCAACTGGCAAAACAGAAGTGTGAAACATGAAAGTGAAAATAAATTCCTGTTTCATGCAAAAACAATTTTAATGTCAGCACAATAGTTTTTACAGGATGGAATAATACATATATCTGGCACTGAAGACTTTGTCAAGATCTATATTTTCCACCTGTTGCCCCCCACCACACTAGTAAGCTAATCTTATAGTGCACTTATTCTGCAACTCAGTTCTGTCATTTACACTTCCAGTGTATAAGGTGCAGTAACTCACTCAGCTCCAGTTAACTGAATTGATCTACAGACTACAAACCTAAACATTAGTGCTATATACTTAGACAAGTAATCCTCTGAAAACTTAAAATGTTAAACCTTTGCTGTTCAATTATGGTAATACAAAATAAATATCTTGCTGACTAATACAAAACAGAAAATGAAATTTTTTTGTTTATTGACTTTTTCTCCCTAATAGCATGTTAAATTGGAAAAAAAAAAACCCACCTTTTTAAAGAAAATGAGCTTCACATCATGGAAAAAATATTAAGCATAACTGAATTTGTACAGGTATCTTTGAACAATAAACCAAATGTATATATTCTGTTTATTCTTCCTACCCATCACTAAATAAGGGGAGATTATATATTCTACTGTTTCTAAACATATGCACATAAGTCATTTTTGTTTTCTCCCTTCATAATGATGTTTGTAACATTTCATATTAATGTTTCCTGGGTGTAATGCAAAAAGAAGATGACAAAATTTAGTGGTCTGTCGTGCAGGTGATCAAGGTAAGTTACGTATCTAGTGATTCCTAATGTCTTTAAACTGTATTTAAGTTGGAACTTTGATATAAATAAAACTTTTATCTGCTTTTATTAAATGTATAGTCTTCACCAGTGTGACCGTTTCTAGGTTTCTTGCTCCCAGCGGGGCAAAACATTGAATTTCTCATTCCCAGAACTAGGTGCAGAAGAAGGGAAAGGGAGATATGAAGACATCCTTCCAGAATTTGGGACTGTGTTGTAGTTTAGAGAACAATTTGGTGGCATCTGCAGTTTGTGGTGACTTCCGTATGGCAAACCTTGCTTGTTCATACTGAAAGGGCCAGAGGGAAGGTTTCTAGGTTTCTAGGTTTCAAATAATGGTTTCTGATCTCTTTACAACTTTCCATTTGAAACAGGTACAATTACAGAAAGTGATAATTTATGCAAGCTTCCACTGAAGCTTTTTGGTAAGTCTTTACCTCTTCACTTTGGTTTCTAACTGCTGATTTTTCTGAGTATTTTGAAATGTTACTTTTAAAACAGGTGAGATATTGAGACTTAAGGCAAAAAAACTGAAAAACTTAAAAAGTCTGCAGCTATTATTACTTTTAAAATATGTAGTTGCACAAATTAATTGCAATAACTCTATTGGGCAGTGGATAAACATTCTAAAAATCTTTATAAATGTACATATGAGCTCACTGATTTCTGGGCTGCTCTAGTATTTCCAGCTTAAAAATTTGGGGGTCAAAGTTTTGCTCCCAGCGGGGCAAAACATTGAATTTCTCATTCCCAGAACTAGGTGCAGAAGAAGGGAAAGGGAGATATGAAGACATCCTTCCAGAATTTGGGACTGTGTTGTAGTTTAGAGAACAATTTGGTGGCATCTGCAGTTTGTGGTGACTTCCGTATGGCAAACCTTGCTTGTTCCATACTGAAAGGGCCAGAGGGAAGGAAAGCAATGAGTGATGGCTCTACAAAAGACTATTTATTCTCTCAGATTTTTATCTCTTAAGCTAATTTGTTGGGTTTTGTTCATTTAGATGAGATACTTGGCGTTTTAACTGTTTTTGTTTTGCTTTGTGACATGTGAAAAATTAAAGAGGATCAAGCCAGGAAATAAAACATTTAGAAATAAGTGCTCATTAAAACACCCGGTAACTAGGACTATATCATGGATTAGAAGTCTAAATGCAACACAGCCTAATTGTTTTTCCTAATGTTAGTTTTAAAAATGGCCTTTCTGATTCAGGGCAAAGTACTTGAAGCAGGAGAGAAAACATGCATTGCATATCATTTAGTCATGATGCATAACAGACTGGTCTGTCCAAGGCTATCTATCTGCTAATGGCAGAACAAAGTAAGCAAAGAGAAATGATATGTAAGCTTCCACCTGCTTCTCAAGATACCAAGAAAGGCTCTTTCTGATTTGTTCTGAACAGCACTGGAAACCACTAGACTTCCTCTAAAATCCTGTTGTGTTTGGAACAAAACCCTGCCTATCGTAAGACATGAGCACTGCTCCGTCTAATTCTCAAGCCACATAGTTTCTTTTAGGTGTTGTCTTCCTAAATGTTAGTTTCTGTGTTCAGTTACAAGATACCAAAGGGAGAATAGGGTGGTTGTGAGAGAGTAAAAGGTAAGTATCCGGTGTCCCACATATTGTCAGGCAAGGTTCTTCCCCGAGTCTCAAGTTCTTGGCATCATGTGATTGTATAAAAAACAAAACAAAAACCTCTTTTAACTTCCATTAAAGAAAAAAAAAGAGGAAAAAGGGGGAGGAGGAACCTCTTGAAATTATTATAATTCTCAAAAGCTCAGCAAGTGGAAGACAAAAATCACAAGCCAGTAGGGTTTATTTCATTGTTATCAAGCTCCCTGTGGAGCTCACCATGTTTTTGAGCGTTTTGAGGTGGCAGTCAATGTAATTGTGTGATGTCAATGTAATCCTAGCGTGCGAAGCCTCAGTGTCCTCCTGCTAAAGTCAATGAAGTAAGTTTCTGGTAGCACCTCGCTAGCATTTCTCAGTACCCAACAAGACGTGACCCTAAATATTTTGCCTGCATCCTCTTATATGACTCATGCCATCTGACCAAGGGAGAATTGGACCTTCTTCATCACAGAGCAGATAGTGATCCTGATGGACACTTTAATTGACCCTAAGCCGCCAGGTCCTGGTTCTTGAGCTCCCAGGAGAACAGACAGGTTCCGTCTGAAGTAGCCTTGCAGAATTCTCTTCTGAGACAGAACATTATGATTAGTTGTATATACTGAATATTTGAATGTATTGAATATTGCCTCTCCCACGGAAAAGGGTGGAAGAGGTCATTTTGGGCCCCAGCTGTCCACTTCTTGAATGGATTGTGAGGCTGCTCTGATTCTCCCTCTGTATCTGAGACCAGTTGCTTTTGGCTAGGGTACAGATGCATCCTTTGCATGAAATATGTGGAAATAATTCATTAAATATGTTTTCTTATTTCTGCCTTGTTTATTCGCAGTTCATCAGGAAACATGGCTGCAGTTCAAGCTCATGGGGGTAGGTTACTTACTGAAGAATTTCCAGGTTCCTGCAAGGCTAGGCAGGCAATTAAGGAAGAGCTGATGAATGATCTGCTTTGGGCTCCAATTCATTAACTAATCATAAAAAACGAGCAGATGGAAAAGAAGACCTATTCAAGAACTGAGAGAGGTTCATTAATGGTCTCTCTGTCCCAGTGCACTACTTTTATTTGCTTTTCCTGGGCTCCTTTCCTGTGCTGTGCAGGCAGACAAGACACTCTATGGATGGTCAGAGCCTCTGTGATCAGCCTTCTCTTTTACATTCAGCTTGGTAGGCAGAGAACAATATATTTTCATTATACAAATACATTACACCGCAGTACATCTGCAGTTGTATTTTGCCTCTCCTAATGTTATCTTCTTTGCACTCTGTACTTCATGTGATAATTTGTGGCTAAAACAGAAGACTGTGGACTTAGCAATTTAGCAAGCAGGGCCAGAGTGCTCACTCTAGACCATCAAGACCTGAACAGAACTACAGAGATGACACATTCCTGGGGAGGGCGTGGATTGTCTTGCCCCTGGTGAGCTTTTCTAGCTAACTCAGGAATGACAGAATAGGGTCACAATACTGATGTCTAACCTCTCTTCTCTGGGGAAATTGGGCTGAAGAGAGTCTGGGGGATGAGAAGAGAGGAGAGTAGTTAAAAATTTATAGAAAGAGAACAGAAACCCTTGAAGAGCTCGCCCACCTTCATGTAAAGCTACCAGCCTCCTTTCAGCATGTGATGTCTCCCTTTTCATCGCTACCCATAAAAAAAAAAAGGGGGGGGGGAGGAGGGGGATAGAAAGGGGAAGAGAGAATTGGATGAGAACAGCCAGAGGTGAAAAGGGATTCAGGTCAGCTGTTGCTCATGCAAAGTGCAGAGCAGAAGAGCTGAACCAAGAAAATGCTATGTTTGTTTATGGTAGAAGAACTCTGTGCATGGATGTTCCAATAAAGGTGATTAGAGTAATTGTTCTGGAATAGGGTCACTTTTGTTCTGGTGCACTTAGAAAATTGTTCCACTGTAGATCCAGTTGATGTTTTCCCTGACATGATTGGCTTCACTTCATGGATGAGAACCACTTGTCTGGCATTCCTCGCTCAGAGCTCATAACCAAACCCCAGGTTAGCTCCTACGAGAGAGTCATCTTTAGCTTGGATTTTTGGATAAAAGATGTGAATTCTAGTCCCTTTTCCTTGACATGTCTCTTGGTGAAGTAACAACAGTAAAGATGCTATATCCTAGGAGCAAGGAGAGAAGCTTAGTAATACTTCAACCATTTTGCACAGTGGACTGCAATATTAAACAAGTAGGTGTATTTACAGCTAGGAGGGGCTGGACAATGGGAACAAGATGCTCATTAGATCTGTTGCTTTAAAATATGTCCTGTTTTGAGCTCTGTCTCCCTATGTATTTTGGATATATTTAGGGCATTTATCACCATAGCATCAAAGCACTGAAATATTCTATGAAAGAAACTGAGAGATCTGTCCCAAAATAGCTTCTCGCTATTTTACCAAAGTACCAATTTCACTGTCAGTATTTTCCTGTCATTGCTCATGACTGAATGTGTGTGTGTGCACATATGTAAGAGCTTTTTTCTTTCCTGATCAACCTGATGCTGTCACTCATCATAATACAGTGGGTTAAGGGCCAAGTCCAGATGAGACCTGTGGCGCTTCCTGGCGTCTTTGTGTTAAGTCTTCAGTACTATGTAATAGTCTGAACAGTTTTACAAGTTCCTCTGTGTGCATGGGGGCTACAAAACCTTATTGCTGTTTATCCTCGTGTAAGAGGAAAAGGAGGTTGTTTCATTCCATGAAGAGCAGTATTCAGAACTGACAACATTATGAGCTGGATCTGGCGATTGTGAGCCCAGACGTGCGGAAAGACTTTACAGCTTATTGAATCTTAAGGCATGCTTTAGATTTTGCTGATGCTCTTGGTATCCATTGAGGCTTAGTGCATCTGACAAACGAGGCTACAGAACATGTTGCTGTACCTGTTTCCTCATATGTGGGCTTGGGTGGCAGGACTGAGGCATGAGAAATAGAGCTGCAGTCAGTTCTATAGATTGGTTTCCAAGTGCTTCATTTTGCATCCCCAGGCTGAACTTCAAATTCTTCATCATTGCCTTGTCTAACATGCCTGCCTTGTGTGGGAAAATTTGCCCCACTTGTGGATTAAATTTACAAGGTGACTTTACTTCAATATGTTTTTCTGTCTGAAGCCCCCAGTGAATTACAGTATGTTGTCTCCTTTTTGTTCCTCATCTTTAAATACCTCTTTGCATGCAGATTGCCCTGAACTCCCTCCTGAGCTTCAGCAGTTATTGATGTGTTCTCCTCTGGTCTCAAGGGGTACTCTCTTTGAGGTCCTGATGAAACAGGCACCAGGGTCTACCCAGGGCAGGGTTAATTGCTAATAACAAGTGAAGATCTTTTATCAAAGCTGCTGCATTCTTCCCTGTTTGTCATCTCATTCCTGGCTCTTGAGGGATACTGAGCTCTTGTTGGAACAGATCGGCTCAGACCTGCCTGCTCTTTTTAAAGTGTAAAAGTTCAGGAAATAGTATCAGCCAGAGTCTGTATGCAGGAAGTCGATCTGTCCGTCCAGGTTCAGAAACAGGCTGTGCCCCTGGGAGCAAAAAACACTGGTTCCCCACCCTCTTCACCACTCTCAATAAAGCCATATTCCACCCTACCCCCAGCTCTGGTTCGCACTCGAGGAGCTGAGGCGGTCTTCAGCTCTGGAGGACGTGGCCTCTGAGTAGGGCTTAAGGGGAGGCTCTGCACAGATGCCCTGAAGTGATTCCTGCAGGGAATCACTCGGTGTTTTGGATAGCTATGGCCCAAAGGGAGGACAGCATCCAAAAAGGTGTTTGCCACCTTCCCTCCAGAGCCTCAGTCAGCAAAAGCAGGTGGCTAGTCAGAGCTCGGTGCAATGCTTATGGTGTTTGCTGTCAGGCTTGTGGCCAGATATGGTTCACAGCTGCTTCAACTTTGGCTCAAGAAATAGTATAATCAAGGTAGTCACATTAGACTTTGACTGTCATATTATTATGAGATGAGGTTTTTTTTTTTGTTGAGGCAGTAAAATACAAAAGTTCCCCTTGCTTCTCTACATACGCTATCCCTTTTCTATATTCAGCTCTGCTTCGTGCTTTCTATTGTGCCCTCTTCTTTACCAGCGCTTCTGTCTGCGGAATTAATTCTCATGTGTAGCTTCAATGTCCCATGCCACTGTCTTCAGTGAGTCTCCTGGGAGGTCAGCTATTGAAATCCATTAGTTACTACTTCAGCAGATTACAGATTAGGTCACACCAAGCAATCTATCCTTTCATTAGTATGCAGTAAATGATATCTGGAGCCAGGCATGAGCAGGCACCCCTTCCTTTCCCTCTAAACTAACACTGTAAATTACAAAATGAGCCGATCCTGGAAATCTGAATGCATTTGGGAGAAGTGAAGTTGATCCTGGCTATAGAGCCAGTTTATGAGGCTTTCTGGTTTAGTTTTAAGGAAATGAGAGGAATCTTTAGCAAAGAACAGGCATATTTTCTCTGAAATGTTTGATTGTCATTGGAGTGGCATCGAGAGCCATGTTTATCTTTTTATTTGCAACTTGCACCATTTTTTATAGCTGGGCAAAGTGCACATTTTTAATTTCACAGAATCTTTCTTCAGTAGCTTAAATAGTGCAAGACAGCTCAACGTGAAGAACTTACTTGTTTACCACTTGTTTCTGTGCTATTGAAAAATCCCCTTTTTTGTGGGGTCAGGCAGAAGCCAGCTTCACAAAAAGAAGAATAGTCTGAAAAGGTAAAAGAATTAGTGCTGTAGGCTAATAAATGTTTTTATCCGTTCCATTTTCTTAATTCCAAAAGAAAACTTCCTTCTCAGAGACTGTGCCAGTGCCTCAGAGAGTTTCTGTTGACCAATGGAATTAATTTCATGGGTTTTGGATGCAATTAACCAAGGATGTTATTTTATAGCAGTTCTGGAAGAAGCACAACAACCATTGTTAGGAGATCTAATGTTTGTTTTTTGTGGCTAGGATGGGAATTGGTGGTCTCTAAACCACCAATAAAAAGAAAGTGCAAAAAACAAAACCTGTTGTGCACCAGTTTGCTGAATAGCAGTCACAGTTGGCGGGCTGGGTACAGCTCTCCAATTCTTCTTATTTTTTGGTGGTTTCATAGGAGAACATCTGAAATAGAGGTCAGCTAAAAACTAGAGTTGGGGCTGCTGTGTCAGAAGGATGGTCTATGGTATGGCAAACGCTGATTTCTGCTATTGTTTAGACAATGTTTCATGCATCTTAATGTAGACATAGACCCATAAATTCCATTTAGGATATTTATAAAAGCAATATCTAAATGGCTGGGTGGTGAAAAAAGAAGCACTGGACTGAACTGATGGACTGCTAGGAAGTAGCTGTCAGGTAATTAGAGGAAACCGGCCAACCATGAGACGCAAGATCCAATACATCTGTCTGTAAAATCTGAATGACTGTCATAATGTTTTAATCCCTTTCTATTGTCCCTTTCCTCTCCAAATCACCTTTTAAACTATATTCTAAGTTAAAACTCATGGACTAAAACCAAACAGAAAAGCAAGCAAGCAAGCAACCAAAAAAACCCTAACAAAAAAAATCTGAAGTGAAAACCCCTCAAAAGGGAGCTTGAGCATTCAGCCAGGAACTGACTGATCTATGATTTATAATTTCTTTACCCTGCAGAAGTAGGAAGGTAATGTAGCAGTGTTTTGATCTCAGTGAGCTTTCCCGTAGTAGCCAGGAGATCAAAGCAAGTTTAACTACTTCTGATACCTGCACCCTTTCTTCCCTCTCCCACTCCTTCTCCAATTATCTTACAAGCAGCCTTATATGACACCAAATAACATCCATTTTGTGGATGCCACAAACACAACTTCATGTTTCTCTGTGGTGTTTGCAGTAACCTGTGTAGCAATGGGGGTTCCTCTAGAATCGCTCAGCATGGCATGGGTATTTGATGCATTGACTGGTTGTGAAGGTGTAGTTTGAAGTATACCTCAGAAATAGGACTCTCCTATACAATGATAGATGTTGTCCCATCCTGCTTCCTCAGGAGCTCCCCAAGTTCTCCGAAAACTTCAAACTTGTGGATCCCGAGGGTGCCTGGCAGTGTGGCACATAGAGGCACAGGGAAACGGGGAGTATCTGACTCTAGCCTTGGGAGAGGGAAAGGGGTGGAGGTGGCAGGCTGGTGTGGAGTCCAAAGGATGCTCACCCCTCACAGAACAGAGGAGAGAAGCACATTTGTGAAGGAAAAGCAGGTAGAGGGAATTAGCCTGTCAGTTTGCAGAAATGCTGCTGTAGTTCTTTTTGATAGGGAAGGTCAGCTGTCCTGCCTGGCCAGAAAGGTCCAGCGATGATGCCTTTGGGTGCGATACCCTTCGCTGGTGCACAGGACTGGAGCTGATCCTGGGTGAGTACAGTACCGTCAGTTCAGTGCCCATCAGGTTTGCTTCTGACAAGAGAGCATCCGCTGCAGCTCCCTGCTCCATTTTGCCACGTGGCAGGCTCGGGGATGGCTGCAGGCTGTGCCTCTTGGATGGTGGAGGGCTGTAGTTCTGGAACCTCACTGTTTTCACTTGCTGGAATGAGAACAGGACCCGGAATGACACTGGGAAAACAGAATGACCCTTAATTTTTGCTTAATCTGCTCTACAGAACCAGGATGTTGTGCTTCTACAGGAAAAGGCTGGTTTGTTCCCAGGGACAGATGTCTGTGAAGAAGCAGTGTGTCCATCTGCCTGATGTGATGTGCAACTTATGGTACATGGAAGAAAACATCAGGAAATTACACAGCTTTGCATAGTAGCATAATCACTAATTACAGCAGGGTATTACAAAGACCTATGAAAGCCAGTCTGAACAGCTATCACTGAAATTAGTGCAAGGAAATGAAGGGGGAGAACACTTGTTACTGTGAAACGGAGGAGAAAGTGTGGCCTCTCTCCTGCTGTGCCCTTTACAGAGAGCACGTACAAGGGTTTGTCTCTAGCTAATGTTCTTGGTAGAAGCTCCAAGCTTGTTTTTACTTTGAGATACTCATGGAGTTATTTGCTCTTTGGGTGCTACAGGAAGGGAAAGTTGTCACTAGGGCAGTTTCACAGATGGTATAAAATCATTCTGGAAATTTCACCCTTGTTGCTAGTAGGAAAGGAAATCTCTGTTCCAAACAGCTCATCCAAAGCTATTTGAAGTATGGAAGTGAAAGGAGCTGGGGGGGCGCACTGAATCTCTGTAGGGACCAGTCTAGTATAAGCTCTAGCACCCATTTCTGAGACATTTGCTACCGAATCTCTTAAGGATCTCAGTGGGATTCTTACTTGATTTAAAAATTCGGAAAAAGTCTCAAGGTGCAGTCATGACTGAACATCAGATTATACTGAAAGGAATTGTGCAGCATCTCGCCTCTCCAAAGGGTTTAATTCGAACAGCAGACTGAGCAATACACAAATCTGATTTCTTAATGCAGGTACCAATCCAGCTATCCCATTATCAGAAGAAAGCCTAGTGAAAACTGAGCAAAGCCCTCTGGAAACTTGGCCCTTGGTCAGTACTGAGCTGACACTGAATGTCAGTCCCAAAAGGACTGGGAGGATATTCTGAAGGTAGCGGGTAACGTCTGGCCATACCTTTTCAGTGCTGTTCCGGGAAGTGTCTGGTTTCACTAGGATGGATGGTGGCGCTGATGCAGGTGGCTTTGGAGCAGTCTCACTTTTTGCTGGAGGATCTTTGGCATCCAGGATCACTGAACTACATACAGAAGGAGTTTTGCTTTCCCCTCCTCTGACCACAGGTGCTGGTGAAGCATCATGGGACAAGTTTGGCCTTGTTCCTACATCAGTCATGGCAGCACCTGAAGGGATGTTATGCGGCTGAGGGCTGATGTGCTGATAAAGCTGAAATTGCTGAGGTCGCAATGCAGTGGCAGGAAGACGCCTGAGAGAACCGGCAACATGAATAGGGGTTCCTGGCTGTCCAGGCCTCTGCAGAGATCCATCTGGGGAATAAGATCAGTTTGAAGAAGATAAAAGTTAACAGAAATTCAGTAGATCCCAAAAGGAAGAGGATATAATTGAAGCAACGATGCAGAAACGAACAGCGGTTTATATTTATGTGTTAGCACCTGTTTGCAGTGGATGCTATCAGATTCACTGTCTGTTCTTGGGCCGGAGTTCCCGAGGTCTTGCCGACAGCCCATTGCTGAGGCACAAGGAATAGGCGTGCAGTAACGTGTTCTGTCTCCGTAGCCCTCTCCTAACAGACTGTTGCTCTGCTGAAAATTGACGAGGCTGATAAGCTTAAATTTTCCACCCCTCTGTATTGGCACAACAGCTACCACTGTGGCTCAATCTGCTTCCTGCTAATTTGTTGTACCAGGTTAGTTGTGTTATCATATTTTAGCCAAGGGGAGATGGAGATGGAATGAACATCTCTCAGCTGCAAGTGCCTGATGGTAAACTGTTTGGATGTCTTCAATTTACTGCCTATTCTTTTTTCTTACAGCTGTTTGCCTGCCTTGCTGCTGTACTCTGAGGACCTTTTTCTGTAGGTGGAGTAGTCCCCCAAAATGACTGAGGCCTAAGAAATTCATAATTCTCCTGTCTTATGTAGGACAGATTTAGTTTGAGTTTGCCTTGACTTCTGGACTGCAAATACACTGCAGAACTGCAAACGCTGAAATGCGTTAATGCTGAACACTAGGTTGCGCTGTCACAGCATGGCAATATTGGATTTTCCTACCTGACTCTTGAGTCAATGAGTCATGGCATTGACACTCCACTGGCTGAGCCTTGTCCCTGATGGGAGAAGGCAAGGATGCACTGGTATAGGAGTGGCTGCTGCATGGAAGGCACCGCAATATGTGGGTAGGATCAGATGTAACCCAGTAAAAAGGGCGAGGGAGGCTGCAGAGGTGGGTAGCTGTGGTAGACGATGCATGAGTATTTGTGCCACTAGCATGTGCTGATGTTGATGGGGGGACAGAAATCACTTCTCCTAGTAATTCTGTGCCCAAGCAGATCCCTAATTTGGGAATACCTGATTTTGTGAGGTGCTAAAGGCCTCCAATAAGATATGGCGTGTTCTCAGTCCTCATGGTGTTCATAGGTGCTTTCTGCCCTTCTCTAATGTTTTCTTGCCAGATGCGTAATAACTGAGCCCTTGCACCTGATCCTTCCCAGCAGTCTTCTCAGTTTGGTACTGTTTGTTGTTTCTAATTTGGCTGTTCCATCTGATACATACTTTACAAGCAACAAGGCTGGAAGGTGCACACTTTTCTTGTGTAGTTTCTTGCTGTTCACAAGATTGATTTTTGTTGTTGTTGTTGCTGTTGTTTTTTAAATAGATCCACACAGGGAAATGAATCTTTTAAAGTGAAACAACTTTTAAGGTAAATCCAATTTTGAGTCTAAAAACACTGACAATGGCCTTTGGAAATGAGCCTCACCCCCCCACCAATGGCACTGCATATCTCCAGCAGCAACTCTTACTGCAAGTATTAAAGAGTATGCCACTTAGCTGCTTAAATATTCTTGGAAAATTATTCCAAAGCAGCATGTATGATCTGAAAATAAGCCTTGCAAACCTCACTGGAAAGAACGTAACCGACTGAGCTCTGCATAAACCTTTACAAAGAGTCTTCTTGTGCCAAGTCAAGAATTTGGAATTACCGAAGTAACCACAGCTGAGGAAAAACTGGTGTCAGGACCCCTGGGCCAGCCTCACAATAGAGATTCATTAAGGCTTTCTGTTTTTGCTCCCCATCTTTGGGAGGGATATCTCCTACAGCCCTGAGTATATGCAAATGAGTTTATTAGTATTTCTGTTGTGCTTGGCTATTTCAGTGCTGAGAGCTAAAGTAGTGCAAAGGGAGGCTGCAGAGGTGGGTAGCTGTGGTAGACGATGCATGAGTATTTTTGCCACTAGCATGTGCTGATGTTGATGGGGGGACAGAAATCACTTCTCCTAGTAATTCTGTGCCCAAGCAGATCCCTAATTTGGGAATACCTGATTTTGTGAGGTGCTAAAGGCCTCCAATAAGGTATGGCGTGTTCTCAGTCCTCATGGTGTTCATAGGTGCTTTCTGCCCTTCTCTAATGTTTTCTTGCCAGATGCGTAATAACTGAGCCCTTGCACCTGATCCTTCCCAGCAGTCTTCTCAGTTTGGTACTGTTTGTTGTTTCTAATTTGGCTGTTCCATCTGATACATACTTTACAAGCAACAAGGCTGGAAGGTGCACACTTTTCTTGTGTAGTTTCTTGCTGTTCACAAGATTGATTTTTGTTGTTGTTGTTGCTGTTGTTTTTTAAATAGATCCACACAGGGAAATGAGTCTTTTAAAGTGAAACAACTTTTAAGGTAAATCCAATTTTGAGTCTAAAAACACTGACAATGGCCTTTGGAAATGAGCCTCACCCCCCCCACCAATGGCACTGTATATCTCCAGCAGCAGCTCTTACTGCAAGTATTAAAGAGTATGCCACTTAGCTGCTTAAATATTCTTGGAAAATTATTCCAAAGCAGCATGTATGATCTGAAAATAAGCCTTGCAAACCTCACTGGAAAGAACGTAACCGACTGAGCTCTGCATAAACCTTTACAAAGAGTCTTCTTGTGCCAAGTCAAGAATTTGGAATTACCGAAGTAACCACAGCTGAGGAAAAACTGGTGTCAGGACCCCTGGGCCAGCCTCACAATAGAGATTCATTAAGGCTTTCTGTTTTTGCTCCCCATCTTTGGGAGGGATATCTCCTACAGCCCTGAGTATATGCAAATGAGTTTATTAGTATTTCTGTTGTGCTTGGCTATTTCAGTGCTGAGAGCTAAAGTAGTGCAATAAACATGCCTTGTATTAACTTAAGCACCTCAGTATGTTGATAGCTCTGGTGAATTGCAGCTATTTCTGCTTCAGAAAGCAGCTGATTAGAACACGAGGTCTGAATGATGAAAGCTATGCAAAGTACTTTCCTTCAGAAAACGGCTTCTGAAGATAAGCAGTAAGAAGTAATATCCAGTGCCACAACACTTGTATTCACCACGTTTTACCTGTAATTCTTTCAGGGATACAGAATAACAGGCCAAGGCACTCAGAAGAACGGAAGCTCTGCGTTCTGGAGGTAAATTCACCTCTGCTGCAGTTGCAGCTCAGAGCCTGGGGGCACAAGGATGGGATTTCAACTGAGCTGAAGCACTGCCTCCAAGAGAAGCGCGTGTTGGCTCTTTGGGGATGAGGAGGACAAAAAATAGGCTATGTATGGAGTATTCTTTTCCTTTAGCTCTCTGCTATCAAGGCTTTTGACTCCATAATTCTACTGTGTGCCTCCTGCTTCATTTTTTTTGTGAAGTATCCTGTCTCGCCTTCATGCTATTCATGATTTTATGCATCTCAGACATTTCCAAGATGGAAAATTTTGCTCCTAAAATAGAAATTATTCCATTCTCTTGATCATCCTTCTGTGTGCTTTTTCTAATTTTACTATATTCTTTTTGAGTTACCAGAAATGTGTGAAGTATTCAAGATGCAAATTTACCAGGACTCCTACAGAGGCATAGCTAAGTTTTTCCTGTTTTTTTCTCAGTTCCTTTCCTAATATTTTAAATTACCTTTCTTAATTGCTTCTGAGCATGGAATTGGAGTCCCAATGAATTGTCATGACAATTCCAAAGCCTCTCTTTAGAGTGACAAAAGCAAATCTTGAGTCTAATGTTGTCTATGTATAATTAGGGCTTATTTCTCCCCGTATTTGTGTATTGACATTTTGGCTACTGTTTTATCTCCCTGTTGCTTGGTGCTGTGAAATTATCATGCAGCTCTTTGCAGCCAGCTGTAGATTTGTGTTGGACAATCCTGAAACAAGCAGCAAACTTTGCCTCTTAGTTCCTCATGCCTGATTTTAGATCATTTGTGAGTAAATTGAGCAGTATGAGTTCTAGTATGTATTCTTTGCATCCATACCGGTAACCTTGTCCTTTGGAAATGTAACCGTTGTTCTTACCCATTGTTTTGCATCTTCTAACCAGTCATCAGTCTATCAACAGGCTTTCCCTTGTATTCCATACAAGCTTAACTTCTGCAAAACTGTTTAAGGGAAGTTTTAGATAATTTGAGTTCACTATAATAACCAAATTATCTATTTATGCACTCAAGGAACTGAAATGGACTTGTGATATGGAACTTCCTCGTACTGAAAGTACAGTGATTTTCCTCCAAGCAAATGCTATACCTTCCAAGGTATATAACATTTAGGTATCTGTCTACTAGTTCTCCTTTATTGTGGTTTTTATCAAAGATCACTGCAGAAGTCCTTTTTAGAGACTTATAATATTGCCTTAATACAGCTCATGTTTAACATGTTAAAGTTTGTACTTTCTTATTTTCTTTGTTGGACCCACATAAGGATCCTTTTCCTTCTAATAGCCTCCATTACCGTTCAACCATTTTTGGTGCATCCTTTTAGTTTTAAAAGATATATGTGTGTATATATATGTGTGTGTATATATATATGTATTTTTTACATATGAATGGTGTGTGTGTATATATATGTTTATATATATAAAATTTATCCCAGATTTCTAATACCTGTTTAAACAATTTCTATGTTTTCTGCAAGGAATCGATCGTTTAAAAATGCTATTCTAATTTCTTTTTAACAAGTTTGTGTGTCCTGCTTTTATGCTTAAAAATTAAGTGTTACTCTCTTGGATTTTGGGGTTTTGCCTTTTCCTTTCTTACATTAGCATAGAATATGAGCATGTTGTGGTCTGTAGGACAGAGAGCTCTCTTGCAGTTGTTTTGAGCCATGTTCCCGTGACTGTTCAGGACATGGTCACCAGCTGCTCCCCTCAGACAGCTGTGATTAGTTATTTCTAGAAGCAACAGTGTCTTAAAACAAATTATGTCACTCTCTGATGTAACAGAGTCAGCCTGTGTGGGTAATCTCTCTGGGATCTTCCCCGATCGCTGTGTTTTCTGCCTTCACAGCAGCTTTAACCTCTCCTGGTGTTTCACGGCTGTGACCTCTGGCCAGCAACAGCCCCGTGGGACCCCCAGGACAATTAAAGTCTTCCCCTGTAAGCCTGGAAGCTTAACCCACAGAGGCAGCGGCACATTCTGTTACACTTAATGTAGTAATTTGCATTTCGCTTCACATGCAGTGCTCCTGCCAAGTGGTACAACTAATGCTCTCTGTCCTTTACATTGCAGCCCTTGTGCTTTTAATGACTCCTTGGAAAAAGCCCTTTCCAAAAGCCTGCTTCCCAAGGATGAAGAGCGACAGTTGAATTGACAGCCCAGTCATTTTGTATATGGAAAACTGGCCATGTTAGTAACAGATGCCTGCCTCTCCATCCAGCTCGCTCCCTGGGTGAGATGAGATCCTGTAAGCGCCCTTGGGGAAATCATTAGTCTTTGTTCATTTCTCTGATAGTGTTTAGCCTGAATGCAGAAACCAAGCCTAGGCAGGAAGCGCTCATGAAAGCTGTAAATACTCCTGGCAATGTAATATTTCTGGCTGAGGGTTCTAATTGCAGGCAGCCAGTTTGGGATGGACAGGTCTGGCTTCTCTCTCCTAGGGACCCTTCCTAAGCACTTACTCTTTCTGGTGCTGCCACGTCCGCGCCGCAATGATGTTTGTCCTGAGGTAGTCAGCATAGCTGTGTTCCTCCCTGGCGAGGTCATGGGCATGGGCAGCAAGGCTGATTTCAAAGGCCTGCTTTGTCTTTGGCCATTTTCTGAGATGCTTCCCTGAGAAGAGAGCGAGGAAGTCGATAATGTCCATGAGGCATACAGGGAAGGCATCTTCGAGTCAGGGAGATTAGATTTCCTGTTTGTGGAGATTGAAAAGGAAAAGAAAATAAGCTGATGTTCATGCAGTCTGCAAGTCCTCTACTCTTGGAATTTTTTAAGGAAAATTAAGGTTTGTCCAAGATGAAGAGAGTTCACTGAGTCTTAAATGCTTTTGCACTTCAAGTCAGGTGTTTGGAATTCTATAGCCAGTGAAGGTTTCCGATGCCATTATAACAATGGCTTTCATATCTCTGCACCCAATTGCTAAGAAAGTCTTCTCAAATATAGTTAGAATTCTTTACAGCAACACCATGGCATTTCAAAAAAGGGCTTTCAGATGCCAGCCCTCCATCTGTAACTTGCCCAAGCATGCTCCCTACATTATGGAAAGCTGCGATTTGTCCTGCTTCCTCTATATTAAATGTCATTCTCTGAATGTAGATGCTAGTGCTTTTAAGCTACAGTCATTAGACAAAAGTAGAGAAGAGGAGCTACTGCTTCCACAGATGCTTTAGAGCATCTTAGGTGCTATTAGAGCTTGAAGTGCCATTAACATTCTGAATGGTTCCTCTTTGACTTCACCTCTGGGTGACTGTAACACTTCCATGCAACAACACCACACTGGTTTTGTTTGGAGGCAAAAGCAAACTTGTGTATCCTACCCCCTTTCCTGCATGGGATGGGCAAGGTTAGGGAAAGTGCTGGATGGTACCTTTAGCTGAGGCCTTAAGAAGCATCTCTCATCCAAAAGCCCAGAGGGAGAAGAGGTCTGCAAGGACAAGGCTGAGGCAATTATTTGTGCTCCTTGTTCTCTGGCTCTAGCTTCCCAGCTGCTGTTTGGGCATCTCTCTATTGCTTAGCAGCTATTTTGGATTACCCTTATCCTCCCATTTATTCCCTAGAGGGGTCATGCATACGTTTTCACCTAAATCCATTAAATTGCCAAAAAGGCCATCAATCTTCCCCATCAGTGTGCTGGCCAAATAACTCCAAATTCCTTGGAAGAGAGGGCCATGGTGAAGTCCCTTTGCTAGCTCTGCAAAGGAAGAGAAAGGCATTCCTCTGGCTCTTCTCTTTACCTTTCTTGGGGGTAGAAGAATGATTTATAGTTTAATATCAGAGTAGTGACTCATCAAATAACTGGCATCAATTTATTATGAAGAAATTTCCTAAGGAGGATAGAATAGCAGCTCCAAAATCAGTGCTTATGGTTGAAGCCCTGTATGAGGCTATTTAGGGTGACTGAGCTGTGCTTTTGGTTATTTGTTTGCTCTGTTTATTGGTGAGGTGGGGCCTTGGTGTTATCAGAGGCTATATTGTGAAGAAATGAGCCGGAGAGACAAAGACTAATCACCACCCTCTTGAATACAGGGAGGGTGTGTGGAAGGCAATGCTAGGATTAAAACAGCAGTGGGACCTAGAGGTCTGAACTGAGCGATTTA